ATGCCATATCTCAACTGACAGAAGACTGGTGGGGCCTGCCAACGCGAGCCTGAAACTATAATCACTTAGGGTTGATCGAAGATTTCGAGACAATCTTGTATCGCTTGAAATCAAAAGGAACAATGAGCCACGTCAAGTACGATGTTTTACACTGGTGTACATATGCACACTGTGACTTGGATTTACGCCGTGTGAAAACACGGCCGAATGTCAAAACGCTGCAACAAAAAGTAGGATGTCACTTGGGACCATCCAAAACAGACAGAGAAATATGAGTACATCTGTTCTACATTTTGTTTTACATAGAGCGATCAGTCATGGGTATAAGAGAAGATAAAACTGCTGAGCACAGAGCTAGATAAGAGGCAGGGAGTTCCAGATTTCACGGGCAACAGAGGAGAAGGAGTGACCTATTGAGCAGATGTTGACTGAGAGCTTCCAGAGAAGGCTCTGATCATCGGAACGGAGAGCACGCAGCCAAAAATGTTACCTGTTAACCAGAGGTAACAGAACAATCCCTGCGGAGAGGAACTCAACGTTATGCTCCAAAATACACACGCGAAAGACATTTCACATATATAAGTAATCAATCAAGGATGTAAGCATCCCAAGACTTATGAAGAATGACACAGGCAGACGGAACAGCTGGTTCATCTGAGCAAAGTTGGTTTTTGCCCACCTGGAGTTGAATGGCCCCATCACTACCACCACCACCAAATCTGGGGGAGTGTTTTCTGCTTTCCCCAGGCGGGCTGGGGGACAAAACTAAGTGCGCTCAACTCCCCGGAGCTCGACATCGAACACCTGCGGCGAACGGTCGAACGCGACCGCTTTAAAATAGCGAACACCGAAGTTGTATTGAGCACATTCATGAAACCTGGAAAGTTGCGAGCGAAAGCCAACGACGTATCGTGTGACCAGCTCTTCAAAAATGTTAAGAGGCAATTATATTGTTGAAATAAAACATTGCTCTCCTAAGACCCCCCCGTCCCCCGTCCCCTCTCTACCACCGCCCGGACAAAAAAAAATACGAAGTCGCTGGCAAATGTGCGAGCGGGAATTGATAGCGCTACCTCCTGGGAGATGGCGACACACACGACGAGAAGATCGCAGGGCCCGGTGAACCTCCTCGCGCAAGTCTCGTTAACCCGAGGGGGGTGTGGGGAGGTGTGGTGGAAACCACGACGCACAATCATCGCTCACGGCCGTCCGGCACACGCTGACGGACCGGAACGTAGGGCTGGCAGCGAAGCGACACACACAACAACAACAACAAACCTCATGGCAGTTCGCCCTGTTTTTCACAACGTTCAGGAGGACTCCTTCGTGAAGGAGCGTCGTGGGCTCGTGACGAGGTTCACGCCGGCGGCAGGCGTGATAATGACACTATGTAACACGATTTTTGTTCCTGGGTAGTGTCATTTTCTAATTGATTATGCCTCAAAGGTATAGAAAATGGCTATTGTTCCCCACAAACTTTGCTTTTGTGACCAGGACTTTACGTGAAGGAATGGCACAAATGCACACCACGTTTTCTGATTGAAAATAGGTCAATTTCAAAATATCACTGTCCTGGTCACAAAAGCTAAGTTTCTGGGGAATAAAAGTAATTTTCTGTTCTTTTGAGGCATAAGCAATTAGGAAATAACACGTCCCAGGAACAAAAAAAAACATTAAATGCGTTACACAGTGTTATCAATGGAGTGGATTGTTAACTTTGCTTTTGTGTCATGCTCACAAAAGCAAAGTTTTACTACCCAGGAACAAAAAAACATTTTTTGCTACACACTGTTATTTGTCGAAAGTGTGTGCGTCTTCGCGCTGGGTGGGGGGGGCAGAAGGTCACCAAACCAAAAACGAAGTCAAGGGGAGAAAAAACTCTCCCGGTGGAAAACATAAAACACGCTCCCCTAGCCGCTTGCAAGACTGCACAGCAACGCACTTCGCTGTCCGTCACTGGGCGCGAGGGAGCCAGTGTTTATCGTGAGATTTGTATCACAACACGAGGGAGTTGAGCATTTTCAATTGGTACCTTTGAGTGAAAACCGTATTCATTACAGCATTCTGCACGTGTTCTTCCATTGCACACTCGTGTAGAAATTGTTTGTGCATATCCGTTCGCCCTACGCGCGTGCCAAATAATGTCAGAGCACTCTGGTGTTCATCTGTCCACGCTGTTGGTCAGTGGATGTTGACCGTGGCCAGGAATCGGATTTGTGCCATCGTGTTCAGAGTTTCAGTACGCTAACCGCTGCACCGCCACCACCGCCGCCACCGCCGCCACCTTTCCCTTATATTTTCGTAACGTTTCCATCACGATATATTGATGATTTATAGTTACTACTATTGACGAGAAAGCTGTGCTCAAGACTTGCCATATTTTGTATGTAGTGTTCCACATGCGAGCTGAGGTAGTAAAATGTCGCTCTTAAAAATCACGAACGCAGCTCGCCCGTAAAAATGAGCTCACCGCGCTTGTTGAACCCCCATTCGGAATGGTGAATTGTCACGCACAACGTGATGACACGTACGATGCAGCGCACACCGCTGCAGCACACCGACGCGTAGCAGAACGGCCGAACATTGCCTGACAGGGCCACGACTTTGCGTGCTCTTAATGTCAAAAGATAATCGGGGCTACGGATCCAGTTCCAGATCGCTGACGCTATGACCAAAATTCTAGATTTGAAGCTTTTGTGACTGCAAGGATTCATATTCTTAGGTTTTTTCGGTAAAGTCACGTAGGTAAAAATTTATAAAAGGCAACACAAGCTTCCGTCTTCAGGTACTTGATACAGCAAGTACTTGATACAGCAAGCGTGCTGTGACGGTTCCACCTGAAGACGGAAGCTTGTGTTGCCTCCGAAACGTCGTGATTTTTATTTAATTTTTATTTTATTTTACTTTTATTATTTTTAAATTTTTTTACCTAAGTGACTTTACCGAAAAAACCTAAGACTATGACCAAAAATCATGCGTGCCTCTCTCGAGTTTCAGCGGGGGGGGGGGGGGGTGGCGGGGGGCTTCTAGTGGGACCAATTGTTCCCCCCTTAATATTTCATTTCGTTGCCAAAACATAACCGTGCTGCCCCCGAGTGGCCGGGCTCTTTCATCTGACGGCTATTTAGCGCCCTCCCCCCCCCCCCCCGCGCTGAGATTACGATTGAAAAGGGGGGGCTCATCCTTCCGTGCCCCTCACCCACCACCCCTCCCCCCTCTCTCTTCTCTCCCGAGTTGTACGCGCTGTTGTTGTTGTTTTTGCGCGAGCCCCTCGACTGGGCACGTAGGGGTTGCGAGTTCAAACGATTTGACGTGTAGTGGTCGCGCTTTTCCAAGTGGTCTGCACGTAACCGCCTCTGTTATTGCCAATGCACTGTTGGCTGAAGGGGGGTGGGGGTCCCCCATGCCTGGCTAGCCACGGGCGGGGGGGGGGGGTTATGTTCTCTAAACAGGGACTCCTCGAGTTACGAACGAGTTAGGTTCCAGAGGTCTGTATGCAAGTCGATTTGTTCGTAAATCTCAACTTTTCTCCCGTTGATTCCAAACATGTACGGCATGTACTCTAAACACGGGGAATGGCTTTCAAAGTTGTATAATCTCATGTAGATGTAGATGCCACTGGTTCTTCTTACTACCACCTTCAACACTTTCACCGCTCTTACGCTTCTGAGACACGATGGGGGTTGATAATGTTCGTGAAATGCACGGAAAACGTCGTAGTGAGCCGCACAGCGGGGAAGGCTCGGTGACGACACCGGAGAACCACCGCCGTCTATTACGCGCGGCGGTTGAACTTACGACTCTGGATTCAAACATGCAACTGGACATACGGACATGTTTGTTCGTATCTTTTAAAGTTCATAAGTAGAATGTTCGTAAGTCGATGAGGCCCCGTACTTTATCGTGCTGGTCAGTCCGAGTTAGTGAAGGTGGAGGGAGCAGCAGAATAGCAATTAATTTTGCTGCACTGTCCTCTGCTGACTGCGATACCTATTGCACACGTCTTACAAGCACGGCGGTCACCCAAGCTCGCACGATCGAGGCTCTTCAGGAGCCGTGCCTAATTCAGTGCAATTTAAAGGGCGAATCGATGCGTGGCCTTGTTTTAGATGCTCATTATGACCCTGACTGAAATAAAGGACATTTAACTCGACGTGTCAAAATGTGGCGCAGCAAATTCCGTTGCTTGTATTTCACTTCTACGTTCCACCGTCCTTATCTACGCGGCCCACCCCTCCCAACTCCCGCCGCCTTCGCCAAACTGCACTGACCATTGTGGCGAAGTATGGTTGGATTATCCCCTTCCGCCCTCACTGTGTTGGGAGGCCCTTATTCAGCCGCGGTATTTCATAGACTATTTAAGATTCAACATTTCATTAGCTGTTCCCATCGAACAGCTGGCTGACTATCGAACGAAGACGGTCACCGCATCGCGCACTTTCAGATGCGCTTTTGCGGCCGTCTGGAACGCTCTTCCTTCCGATATTAGGAAGTCCACTGGAGCTATGCACTTTTAAATCATGTTTAGTTTGTTGTCCTTTCCCCGCACCTCTGATTATCGTGGTTGGATACATACGGTGTGAATTCAACATCCATACATGAGATGAAAATATAAGCAAAAAACATTTTGTTTCGAATTGGCCAAGTAGGCATGCAACAAGTAAATTATGTTATTGTTCTTCACTTATCCTGAAGTCTGCCCTGAATTTGAAGCCGTAAAATATATCTGTACTACTGTAGTTTTTCGATGATTTTACACGGTGTTCAACTGTAGCTTCTGGTTCTGGTCCAGTAACCACAATAAAGGTGAATACATTGACTCGTTCTAACCTATAGCATATTAGTGTTTAAACCAGAAGTCTCACCAAATGTATGACGTTCAACATATGCACGAGATAATAATAATGAAAAATATTTGCCCGTGCAATTTCATGCTACCATATGAAAGAATAAGTGTGAAGTTGCGTCGTTTCTGATGCATTCGCTCATTATATTTGCAGGATACCTTTAAAGGGGATGGCTGGTGTGATCCTCATAATAACCGGGCCTACTGCCAGTACGACCGCGGAGACTGCTGTGCCTCTACTGCCAATGCCAAAGAGGTAAATGCCATTCTGCCAAACACACACACACACAGGTAAAAAATTATTGCGTAATAGAGTTTTTTTGGGTTAGATTGCATGAATAGAAATGTATCATTAAACACGCCACCACCCGACAAAGTCAATTAGTAAGGTAAAAATTTAAAATTAATAAAAGTAAAATAAAAATAAAATAAAAATACCTACGTGACTTTACCGAAAAAACCTAGGAATATGAATCCTTGCAGTCACGAAAGCTTCAAATCTAGAATCAATTAGTAAGGTTTGTCATGTAAACAAAACATGCCAATTTCTTATTAGTACACCACTGCCGTGTGTCGGAGAGTAAACCTACAACACTTACAATTCAACCAGCATCATCAGGCGGACAGCCAAAGTTGTGGAGAAATCCCCCTCCTGTTTCGACAAGGAACTAACCCAAAAACCTCTGTTGTGGATAATATTGGTCGCACACAACCGATCATGCATGTGCATCCGTGAACACACGCAAATACACAATCCACCGTTGAACCACGTGGCCTTTTGGTTTGGGACTGGTGCTGTTGGTGAGCACCTGTTAAGGCTGGAAAAGCGTTCGTGTGGCACTGATGAGTGTACACTACACCAGGTGCTCAATTGAGGCTGGGTTGAACACGCACCACAGCTTAGAATTGAACCCAGGTCAAAATGGATCATACTACAGTGTATTAAGCACTGCATCACCACTGCACTCATAACACGAAAATATATCACTCGTATGGTGATAGCAGGGGAAAAGTCCTCAACTAGCAGTGGGTCAACGGATGTGCGTGGGATGTAATGGATTCACACTAGCCACGAGAAGTTGCTACCATTTATCTTACTTTGATGTTAACAAAAAAAATCGATTTCTCGAATCGAATTGTAGCCATGATTTGCATACATTCATCATCTAACCTCTGGCAGGGTGGAGGGGGGGGAGGGGTGTATCAGTGCTTATCGCACTGATACACCACTTAATATTGTTACATTTGTTCCGAAAATATTTTGAAAGGTATTGCAGTGCCAGCTCTATCCACAAAGGTACGCCCATTTATGACTTGGTATTGGGATGCTGTTAAGTTTGTTTTAGTGGACTTGCCGGATAAGAAAATTGCCCTCGTGTTACTTAATTGAGCAAAACTACAAGGCAACATCGCCCCCACTGGCAGCCGACTCTACCCGTCCATGCAAGTTTCTCGTTCCTTACCGATAGCCTCGCGCTCTAAGAACGGCGCAAATACCAAACGCCCTCAGTGGTTTGATTTGAACTTGACGAGTGGTATTGTTGGATAGACGGCCACACATGGACAGACGTAACATTTATTGGCCTATATACTCCATAAAAAAAACACAATCACAATTTTCTCCCCTTTAGCCATAGGGACGTCGAGACTCGGAGAAAGTTTTGTTCAAAAACTATGGCACTGTTCTGTTTTTTGTTGTGTTTTGGCTGGCAAGCACACCAAGCATTGTGGTCATTGCCAGTGCTGGCATTGACCTCATCAGACCAGCGACTCATAGTGTGTTGGATCAACCTGTCAAGCTCAGATAATTGGCAGTTACTGTAGCAAGCGTGGCCAGGAAACGAACGAGGGTCACCGAGATCATAACACGGTGCGCTAACTGATATGTCATCTCACGAAGACAAAGTTCCCCGATAGAGCATACGCAGGCCCTTTGGGGCAAGTGCTGTTCGTGAAGCACCTATAAAGGCCGGAACGGCACGTGCGACGGAGGTGTATTGCAAGCACAAGGCCCGGTCGTCTTTGTCTCCTCCTTGCTAATGATTACACATCGCGGCAGGTACTCACTCAAAACGGAGTCAAGCTAGGGGAGGCCCAGGGGTCGGTTCAGATAACAACCGCTGGGGTTAGCCACGTAGAGGAATCAAACGCAGGCCGCCGGGTTTTGGAAGCGCGGTGCACTAACACGTCGCGCTGATGCCCCATGCACCACGTCATTTCGCACACGCAGGCAGCACACGGACAACCGCAGACGAAATAGCTTGCACTGTAAATATACAAAAAAAACTGCACACGCCTATGTTTCGATGGATGTCAATACTCCATTAGAGCAATTGTCGGCAGAAGAAGAGTCCGTTTCAGATGACTGCTAGATAAATTACGTGCCATCAACCCTAATTTCGCCTAATGGGGTTCCAAACTGCTTATGTGGGGTGATGGGGGTTGATTGCGGGGTCGAGTTCCGTTTGTCCAATTCGTCAGCTGTGTTAATATAGCACGCTATGCATGCATAACCACACCTGCCTCGCGAACATGTACGACTCGCCATCGCAAACACCACGACGCAATGCGCATATCCAATCGCAGTTTAACCCTCGTTCGATTTGCAGCTGTAAAATGACCTGCGCCACGTACAAACATTTTCTCATTGTCTCTCATAGCCATGTTCTAAAAAAAAATGGGAGGGGGGAATGGTGGGTGTTGCTTAGACATATCTAAACATTTTGGGGGTTGTCTCTTAGCCCATGCGAAAACATTTTGGGGGCTGCCCAGACTCCCGTGACACCCATGGGTAGGTGGCTGCAGGGATGGCGGTGTTGGGTCGAACACAAGTGCGTATTGTGGGCCGCGCCGCTCCTGACTGACTCACGCGGCAGCAAAAAACCAGCAACGGCATTTTTTTAAGCGCAGCTCCCGGTCTTGGCCGAGGTGATTTTCCAAAACATTACAACACATTCACAGGTAACGGCTTTGCGCCGCCGTGCGCCAACAAGCGACGCGTGTAAGGCACGAGGCGCGATTCGGCGCGGGGTGGGGGGGGGGGCGGTGTAGGAGGAGGGGGGGGGGGGCGGAAAAAAAAGCGAATTCATTGGCAAGGCTGCATTCGTGTAAGTTTAACGGTGAGCATGGGATGCACTTTTTTTCCAAGTTGATTTTGACCGCCCCCCCCCCCACAATGCGTTGTTGTGTTCACGGGCAAAAGTTATGCGGCTTGCTTAGCTTACCGTTGCGTGCTATTCACGTACAAAGAATTGACACGTGTTGATCTGATTTGAATGGCGCAACCACAAACAATAAACGTTAAAAGGTGGTTGTCTCAAATTTAGCTTGTAAACGAACCGCACGCCGTGAGCCATAATTGCACGTCGATTCATCGATAAATATTGATTCACAAGCTCACGGTAATGTTTTTTGTTTTGTATTTCCGTGTTGTTTTTAATGGGTTAATGTGATCTCTACAGGCTACTAGTGACCGCTATATTAGATAAAAAGTATTTTTTTCTCTTCTTACTATTGATTCTCGAACCAAATCCGTCCTCGAATTGAGACCATTCGTTTAAATGTCCCGCACGTACATTCTTTCACCTCTGCCAGTCGCACTGCACATGGACATTATTGTATAAAGCAGAATATCGCACGTCTGCCCCGAAATCAATTAACCATCCACACACGCAGTGCAATATTTGTTGGCACGGTGTAACTGTAATCTTTCTTTTGAAGTTCACATATCTTCTTACCTTGTCACGTATCCGCCCTATACCTTGTTCCCAGGGCATTATATCATTAACAAGTTAAATTGTACAGTTGTTTGTGTCTTCATCGATCGCACTCATACTCTGTTGTATTTCATGTTGAGTCATTTTTTGTTGTAATTATACCGTGCAATATTAAAATCATGAAAACAATTTCAATCGAATTCACGTAACCTGAAACCATATTCTTTGGGTCTTTCGGTAAAGTCACGTAGATACCAAGATGTCTTATTTTATTATCACTCGGTGAATGAAAATTAATTTGGCATCAACGGCTCTCCAACCATTCAACAATTATGATACATTCTACATCCCTGCATTTAATAACCGCAACTTCACGGCTCTCCGGCGTGTTTTCAGATTGCAGCGCCTGTCACTCGGCGTGATGTCTGACGTTTCTCGTCACGTGCCTCACCGGGACACGCGCAAGTTAAACGTCGGACATCGCGCCGAAAATGTTGTAAACAGGGCGCGACCCGAAATAAACACGCCGGAGGGCCACGAAAAAAACCCAACGCAGGCAGCCGAACTTTTTTGTTGTTAAGAGTTACGAGAAAATAACCGTTGTCAAGGAGGCCACACAAAGGCTCAACCAGACAGCCTTTGAAAGCACGTGCTGTTCTTTCCACTTGCGGAATATTCCATGGCACGTATCACTCACCTCCAGTGCAATTCCTACACCTTGGCAGAACTGAGGCTCTTATTGTAGGCTCCTTGCGAAACCACGTGCACATTTCTCGTAGCTATAACCGCCATGTGTTCAAACATGGAAAAGGATGAGTGGCGTTTTGCTGGAGGGTTGGTCATGGCAACAAGTTAACAATTCTCGCATTCAAAGGTAGCAATTAGACGCATTTAGTATCTACAATTAGTATCTAACCAAAGTTAGCAATTTGATGCAATTATTGTAGTATTAATCGGATAAACTGGATTTTGAAAACCGTTCTTCAACTTCAACCGCTGTGAGCTGAAACTATTATAATCGACGCCTTGTTAAACGCTTGTAAGTTCGTGACAAATTAATTTGGTTGGCCTTGTCGGGTGGTGGAGGGTCCTGTAAACGACACGATCATTTACGTGGCTGGACTCAAAGGTCAATTATGAATCATTAGCAGTGGTGTGATTTTGAAGAATGGTAAATCGTAAATTCTTACACACATACGTCTTGAAAAATGTGTATGTATAACGTGATCATAAGAAATTCGATTTTAATTAAATGGTTCAGTGCGTTGTCACGTGCCCACTTGTCTGTCATATACAGCCTTGGAAAATGACTGATGTGCGCAATTTTCTACACCAGGATTTGCACTCCAACCCTCTGCACCTACCAGTTCGCACACAGGTACAGTTAACGTTGACCGATCAACGTCCATCGTGACAAAAAAAAAATCACCAGGTCACTTGATTTCAAATTATCACATTTTGTGGGATTTATCTCCGACACACAACGCCAGTGTACTGAGGCATTGATACAATTGGCGAGTTTTTTTTAATTGACGACTTGATTTATCTGCTTGGTTGTGTCGGGTGGAGGGTGGTGTACGACACACATTGGCATTGTACTTACGTGGTGATCTGACCCAGGCATCTATTATAAATAATTTTTTCGATGTTTTTGGGGGAAACAAATATTTTGTACTTGCACATTAGCAGATTAAAGGTACAATACATCTCTTAAAACGGGCAATGCATCATGTACATTAAATTGTTTGTGTCTTTACCCCCATCCCCATTGTATTACAATTGTTACGTCAGTTTCATGTGATGAGACAAAGTGCTTGTTTGTCATTCTTGCAGAGCATTGCATCACCTCATGGTAGTAAGTGACCTACAGAACGAGATGTTGCAGAAGTATATTTGAGATCCCTTCAAGTGACTATTTTATCCATACACTTTCCTCCTAGCCCTGTTACAGAGAAATGCTTGTTGCACGGCATGCAACCGGTATTATACATATATACAAATTCTTAGAGCTGGAACGCATGCAAATTAAATGAAAAAAGTACGTTAATTATTACGATTTTTTTTGTGCAGTCATCTATGACCAGACCATCAACTCACGACACTTGAGAACCTGGAATCATCATAGACAGCCAAAGCCTCGATTAGAACCTCCCAGGATCTCTGCCACCAGGACAGCATGTCTATTTAAATGGTGGAGCAGTTCTTTTTTTATCACAGTGATTTAGAGTAGAGCTGAGCCCATTTCCAAATTCTCATTGACTCACTTTACTTTAGCTGAATACTTGGACCCCTTTTCAAATGTTGCCCCCCCCCCCACATCCTGCCTCTTTTCGAAGGCAGGAAACCCCCTTACAAGCCTGACACGGCTGATGATGCCGATGGGGTCACGGAGACCCCGCCTATCGACTCCCGTCCAGCGGCACACGTGGAGAATAACGCCTGTCCCCCCCCCCCCCCCCACAGCTATTTTTGTATTATCCGATTAGGCGCATGCTCGAGCTGACAATCGGCAGGGGGTAATCGATATATTTTATTCATCGGATATCTCGTAGCTTTTTGGAATGTGCCAGCAAGCGACGATCCGCAGCGACAAGTTCGCCCGTCGCGATGCACTCCCTTTGACCACGTTGGGGGATGTGCCTCGCGGAGCCGGGCGTAACAAAAAAAAACATTGGAGGGGGGGGGGGCCCTGCTCCGATCGCCCCGTTGTGACATTCCACATGGATGTAGCAGACGTACTTCGGGGCGCATTAGCTGGGGGGGCGGAGCGGGGGGGGGGGGGTGGACGGTATCCAGCAGCAGCAGAAAAAATACATCGCTCATACCTTCTCTTTGTGGCAGCGATGAAAGCCGAGGTTGAATGAAAAGGGCCAATTCATGGGGCTGCGGAGTGCCCGGACGAGAGAGTGGCCAAACGAAAACGTTTTCTCGGCCCAATGCCATAACGCCGCCCCCTCTTTGCTCCAGTTCACAAGGCGCAGCCGTGCAAGCGCTTGCTCACGCCGCTGCTGGCCGCCGAAGGACCGCCCACTGCGTCGAAATCTTAATAGGGTTTTTTTTGGTCGATGTCTCTTTTTAGCGCTAGCCACGTGCCATCGGAGGCGGGTGTAACCCACACTTTACCCCTCGCAACCCGCCGATCGACTAACTGGAGTACCCATTTGCACTGCCCTGTGGACTAGAGGCGGTGAAGGGTGGGTGGGGGGCGTTTGGGGTGACTTAAGAAACTTGCTGCCATTGCTTCAACCACCGTGCTGGAAGATGGAATCAAGCCAGCGAGCTCCAAATTGCAAGTCCGGCGTGCTAACCATTATGCCACGGTAGCAACATCCCTTCCTATCGTAAGAGTTCCAGAAATAGGCAGCTGAGGAATTGCCCCTGGATTATTCTTAGCACCATCTTCTGTTAGCCTTCGATGTTTGCTGTGAGAAGCTGGGAGGGTGGGGGGCGACTGTTTTGCGAGCAGTGTGGGAGCTGTGTGGTAGAGACAAGCTGTAAAAACCTTCGCCGGGTGCTTTCCATCCGATTCGGATTTTGGGAACAACCGACGATTTTTCAAGTTGTACTCAAACAGAGATTTAAGCGCCCGTGAGATTATAAACCCTGAGAGAGGAGTTTCAAGTGTTCAGTAAATATGAGACTCACCTTCTGCGGAATATTTTAAAAAGCTCGTTTGTGGCTGTGTAAAAGCATACGGCCAAAAGCAGCTTTCTGCTAATGTTAGAAAATATTGCAAGAGTGGTTGTCCGATTAAAAGTCTGATCCTTGTCATAGATATATGGAATTACCACCACTAGTTTAGAGCTAGAAACAAGAAGACGAATCCCATCCAAGCAGAAAATCGCGATGACTTTTGTTGAGTATGCAATAATTGGTCATCTTTCCTATTATTGGTAAAGGGAACCCCAGCATTTTCATTGTTTATCTCAGTTGCTGAGCACAGGCCCAAAGACGCGCAGAACACCAAGCAGCGAATACGTTCCTGGAGTTGAGAAAGATTGTAAGATCTTGGAACAACAGACGATGGGAGGGAATTCCAACGTCGCGCGTTGCAAAGCAGAGTCGTGTTGTGATCTGCAGTATTGGTGGCCAAACACGGTGTAGATGAATCGATGTAAAACGGTCAGTCTGGTAGACCGAATCCTTAACATGAGTTGAGGAGTAAACCGAGTTCATTTGAGCAGCAACCATGGCAGTAGCGACAGCAGACTGGCATTGGCGGTGACCCGACCGCCAGTGAGTAGAGTGGTGACTGGTCTGAATCAGTGAGTCCCTGGACCATCATTCGACCCTGACTTTACTTCGAATGTAAATATATGGGGGGGGGGGGGGGTGAGGAGGGTGACCTGTAAATGTGGCAATCAAATCTAACTGTTGCGTTTTTGTTTCGCTTGGCCCTGCAGGTGATCCCATTCGGACAGCCATGTGACTTCCAAGGCGAGTGCGCTTGCCGGGATCCGGAGGCGAGGGAGAACCGGCATCGGATAGGAGACCTCCGCTTGCCACCGCATCTTTAGAGGTCGCCAACGTACAACAAAAAAACCCGCCGCGAAATGACACGGGATATTCCGCAGGAAGCGATAACAATTCAAGTAACATTAATGGTGTCATAAAAAACCCCCAAAAACAACTTTAAAATTATACGGTCATGCTCAACAAAGATGTTTCGACACAAATTCGGCGCCTTCATCGTAAGGCCCGGCTGCAGCCGATCAGTGTCCGCCGCGAGAGGAAATTGCTAATTTCTTCGTGCGGAGTGTGTGTGTGTGTGCGCACGTGTACATGCGTGCGTGTACGCGTTGCGCACTTATCTCAGTTGAGGGCGTTTTTACGAATTCCTGGCAAGGCGAGTTACTGTAGTCGGCAAATTAAAAGGAGCCTTAGAACCCCTCCGATTGCTGCTGCCATTCTACACGCAGCTACCAATTTGGCACTGGAGCAACGCATTGCGGAGCTAGCTCTAAGTCGCTGCAGCGTGGCAATCATCGGCTCTCGGAAGAGTTTTCGATTCACTTACGGCGGCGGTAATGAGTGAGCAACTGAAAAAATATGACCCATGACGGAATATCGAAACGCGACGAACGAGCGAGGTCAATGAACGTGTCGAGAGATTCTCTCGAACAATCTGTCGCATTCCAAACCTTATTAATCGGTCCTCTTTTATTAAATTAATTCAAGAACCCCAACAAAAACACAGAGGTGACGAAGATGAGCGCTCACTTAATTACAATTACTTCCGCCCGGGTATCAGTCGCCAACAGTGGAGAGTACGAAACGTCGCTTTAGTCGGGTGCGCGCGAAGGATAAACCGACTGAAGTTGTTATCGATCGTTTGCTCCAAGGGGCGATCCAGCCCTCGGTGGGACGTTAAACATCGAGAAAATGAAGTTACGATCGCTCATTGGGTTTGCAAACTCATCGCCGAGCACCACGAAGGCATTTTGGAAACTACTTTACTGACCTCTGAATTTCCTCCACTTTCTGATTTTGCACTGTTGTCACCCAGTGAAAATGCATGCAAGCAAGAGCGTGTTATTGCTATAACGATACGTACGTTGAACTATTTAAACGACGCGGTTTTTAATTTTACATGTTAATTTATGTTACGTTACGTTAGATCTTCGGCAAGATTTATAGCTTCCCCCTCTCCCTCCTCACATCTGTCGACCCGGCAGTAGAGATGGGGTACAGCACAGCGAGTCGATAGGCAGGTCACGTGCCGTGGGGTAAAGTGTGGCTACTCTCGCGCTCTTAAAATACGTCCGGATAGTGTGGAAGAGTAGGCCAAGCACCCTCGAGGGGCTCTCAAGCGACTCCCCTCAAGCGGAGGCCCTTCCGCCAGCGGTGGTGTGAGCGAGTAATTGCAGGGCTGCCACCTTTTACCTGACATGTTGTGGGGGTTAAAAGTGCAGCATTTAACGTAAGGCGCTGTGGTGTGCTGCACTGAACCGTGATGGGAGGGGATAGGGCACGAGTGGAAAATGTGTGGATTTTTGTTTACGACTAATCGGAACTCCAAAAATTATATCAAGGTGTAGATGCAAAATAACAAGAGAGGCATAAAAAAACAGATCACTTATTACATTCGCGTTTTATCGTCTGAAACTATTTTGGCAAAGGGCACCCGCCAAACGTATTAACTCACCAAAGAAGTGTGTACTTTGAAAATAATACCTATGGTATATTAAATGTACAATGTCTGAAACTGATTTATTATAAATCGTCCCTTATGGAAAACCCAGGGTGCAAGCATGAGCGCAGTGATTAATGCCCAATGCTGTGAACCCAGAAGGACCGAGTTAAATTCCCAGCAAGGGCTAACATCAGTGGCGAGTGATATCACCCTGGTTCAGCAAATCCGCACTGACCAGCGTGGTGAAGTATGGTCAAACAACCCCCCAAAAAGACGACGCAGCTTTGCCTAGTCCGTCCAGCGGTGAATTGACTTAGGCGCTGAAAACGATTATTAAATTATTACTCACATTATGGAAAATTCACAAACCGCTGGGTACGCCATGAGCACAGACTAACTTGGGGTTTCACGTACCATCGCGGGCAATTGACAGTTCACTGCAAGAAAGTGATGCATTGAAGAAACGTGTAAACTAAAGGAAACAAGTAACACAGTCCAGCCGGATTGCCATGACTACCCAACAACGTATGGCCGGAGGCCACACAGCGGAGTAATATCTATGGCTTTGATCACGAGAGAAAAGTTGACCGAGAAGGGCATGAGCTTTTCACCTCGTTGGCACCGTGACATGCCCACTGGGCGTCAAAAGCAGTGGCCACCTCCGACTCTGGTTACACAAAGAAAAGATCCCCCGTATAGCCTTAACAGACTGCAGGGGCAAGTGCTGTAAGCGAGCACCTATGAAGGCCGGAACGGTACACGAGGGGGTGGGTGGCCAGCACCACGCCCGACCGCCTTTGTCTCCCTAGTGGCAATGTTTACACACCGCGCCAGGTACTCATTTGAGGCTGAGTCGACCTAGGAGAGGCCTAGGACCGGTTCAGATAATCGCCACTGGTGTTGGCCGTGAACGGGAATTGAACCCAGGTGGCCGGGTTCATAGCGCAGCGCGCTAACCGCTACACCACCGCTCGACACACACACACACGTGCATGCACACACAAAGAAATCCTTTTAACCGTGGTTTAGATGAGTTTGTGTCGATATCCCGTCAACTGCTACCAGTTTCCTTACGCATACCACGACATATACGCGAAAGCATCGGCACGCGCGCACATGCGTGTGCATTCTCAACAGACGAATCATTTTACGTGGGGTTTCAAACCTCCTTTGAGTCATCAGCAGCACGGGTGCAGCTGTGCTCTTTTCGTCGGCCAAAAAACAAAAAAAAAGTTTCAAAAATACCTCCGTACATACGAAATTTATTTCTTTGCAAGGTGATGACCTGAAATGCAGTGGACGTTCACCACTAATATGGAAAACATTACATGCATCTGCATTCTATAAGTTGGATACAAAGACAAAGAGCCCCAGTATAGCCTCAATATATGTTTGGGGCAAGTGCTGTTAGCGAGTACCTATCAAGACTGGCACGTCACACAAGGGGGTGGTTGGCCAGCACCACGCCAGGCCGTCTTTGTCTCCCCAGTGGCAATGTTTTTACACACCGCACGAGGTACTCATTTGAGGCTGAGTCGACCTAGGGGAGGCCCAGGACCTGTGTTGGTAGCCGTGAGCGGGAATCGAACTTGGATCGCCGGGTTCGTAGCGCAGCGTGCGAACCGCCACACACACTGTGGCTGCCCCCAAATGGGCCAGCACTGCCACTGCACACCCGCAAAACCCCACGGAATTCTCACGCAAAACTCCGGCACACTCGGGCACACTCGTGTACACTTGCGCGCACTCGCGCACGGACGGATGGACGGACACACCGACCTGCACGGCTGTCTAAATTGGCGTGGACAGGCGAATGAACGCGCGTGCGTTTTATTATTTAGATCGATTAAATGACGTTTCGTGAAGCTTTGCGGCGAGAAAGCTCCTCCGACTTGGTCTAAAATCTTGAAGAATTTGCGGTCTAATAATACGTTTGAACTGCTGAACTGGAAACGGAGCCGTCAAATGCACACGCGGTTGTGCATGGCGTTACACGCACACACAAAACTAAAGAGAGGCCGTTTATGTTCCGTGGAAGCAAAGGAATCATTATTTTTGCCAACTCTTATGAAAGATGCCAGTCAGATGAAGTCCTGATTTCTTAGTCTTTACCCACCGAACAGAATATTCCACTCTTTCTGAAACGTGTATAGTCAATTCACGAGTCGTAAGTATTGATACGTCCTACTTCACGTATATGTAAACTACATCGAGATGTGAATAATGTTACACTGGACTTGCACTCCAGAGGTTCGCCGGTTCCATTCATTCCATGCCCCGTGTGCGGCCATAGACACAACGGGGCAAGTTTATTAAATACCCCTCGTCTCTGTCCAGCCCGCGGTACAAACGGGTGCAACCACAGTTCGCTGATCGTCAGGTTGTTGTGTGGTGGGCAAAAGTGTGGGTACTCCAAACCTGGCCTGCATGGAAGAGTGGCACTAAAAACACCCTCCGAGAGGGGGCTATTTAGAGTTATCTCAAGCGAGAGGGCCCTTCTGCCAGCAGTGCCGCGTGCAAGCAATTGCAGGGCTGCACCTTTAGCCACACAGCTAACAACCACAAGCAGAGTCCATTAGTCTAAGCCAGTGCCATCATTTAATAACACATCCGTGCGATGAAACCTTTCCTTACTTCTAAGCAAAGCTTACGGCTTGTCACTTTGGTACGAACTCCTTTCATACGGCTGCATGGTGTTATCTATAAGTGAGCTTGTGCCAGCATTTTTTTGGTCAGTTTATTCCCGCTCGCTCGTAAATCGGAGCGAGCGAGGGCACGGTACAGAATTATATAACGTTCCCATCACAACAGACTGTTGTGGCAAGTGCTGTTAGCGAGCACTCTATGAAGGCCGGCACGACACACAAGGTGGCCAGCACCACGCCCTGTCCACCTTTGTATTCGTTTGAGACTGAGTCGACCTAGGCGAGGCTCAGGACGGGTTCAGATGATCGTCGCTGGTGTTGGCCGTGTTGGCCGTGAATCAAACTCGGTTAGTCGGGTCCGTAGCGCAGTTCGCTAACCGCCGCACCAACGCTGCCCACTAACTTTGCCACCACCACCATCACCACTCACATGCCCACCGGTGTGTCAAACACTGCTATTGTTCGGTGAGACAACCACACCCATTTACAAATGCTGCTGCTTCCGTATCTCCTTCGAGCTGTAACTGTCGCACCCGTTCGTCACATGGCTGCTAAAACACCATCGTCTCGTTTACTACCTACTTTGCGCAAATAGTATACAAAAATATATATATAATATTTAAACGTGCAGAATTTATTTACACATTTTCAGTCGGAAAACAAAAGTTGCGTACGGTGGTATTATTTATTTGAACATGAAGAAAAGTTGCGTGTCCGTTTTCATTGTCTGTTGTCGTTGTTGTTGTTGTTTCCCCATCGTCGGCATTGTCTTATTTATGAGTCTTACTGTAAGTAAATTATGTAAGTTACGATCGCTGCTGAATGAGGTTCCATCACTCCGTGTTCAGTCCGTGGGTTCCGCTCACAGGACATATTTGCGCGCGTCGTTCTTCGTGGTGCAAATATCATTCTCGATTTGGCGGAAAAACAGGTGGTTTAGACGCCAAAAGGACAGCACGAAGTCACAGCATGCTTTGCTTGTCAAGATGACATCGCCATTTCTCGTATACGGTCTGCAGCACATGATAGCCGCCGACTCAAACGAGCTGATGGCATGGACTTTTAATCATCTATTTTCTGCAAAAGTAATAACCACAGTGTAGGAAAAAAAATCTGGCGACGCTGTTGCTGCTGCATTGGCAGTGGTAAACAAGCACAATCAACGAAAACACATCGTCAACGCTGTGGCCTCAAAATTTAAAAATAAGCATATCATGCGTGACGTCTTAGGCGATGGCCCTGCCTAGCACGTAAATATAAAAGTATTATTTACGATTGTGTTTTTTTGGCGTGTTCAAAAAAGTGTTTGCACAGTGTCAATTCCTTAAATATAATTGGCAGTGGCAAGGCGATGGTGACTGTTGTCGGAGCAATGATTCTCCGCAACCCCGACGATTCGACAAATTGCCACGATTGGAATCTATAATGTTATTGTTGAGCATTGCCGTGAATGTATCGGCATCGAGTGGCTGCAGGGAGAACGTGGAATCAATGCCTGTGTGTGACACACACACACTGAAAACCATCGATTCTTATTCGCGATAATCAAGAAAAGTATCACGAGCTTAAGAATTTATATCAATTCATGAATCAACGGGTGATTTATTTATACCTCTGATGGCTATACTATCCCGATGAGTCCTCATAACAGGGAGACCAGTATATCATTTCCTTGTTCTGCTGCCACATAAAATTAAATGCCACACTTTTAGCACCATTGAGTTGGTGGGCCACCAGCAGCTGTTTGAGGATGATTTTCAGGAGATATGATGTCATCTTGAGATTCAAAGCATGCTGGGATTTTCCGTCGTACCCTTTCTTTTCAAAAGCATGTGCTTGCGTCCATTATCATTTCTTTCCGTCGACGGATTTTCTCAAATAGCTACACAAAGAGTGATCCGTCAAGTTTCCCGCCGCCTGTTTTACCGTATTACTGTCAGAATCAGACTCTTGATATATTCTCCATGAAATACGATGAGCAATGAAGCTCTTTTTTTCACAGATGCCCAGTACTAAGAAGCACTCACTCTCAATTCCTTGTCATCAAGTGTTCACGTCATTGATAATGATGTTACATTATATTTTACATTTTAGTGGCATTGGCTTGATATTTCCTGTGAATGCGGTCACTCGGGGCTCGCTGTGTGGTGTGGCTTTTAAATCAATGCAATTTCAAACTTTTTGAATACTTTGGAGGCATGTTACTGTGGGTCCGTGGAGTCATCGTATAATTTATATCAATCATTGTATTTTCATTACTGAGAACAAAGCGATGAAATAGTTATTTAACTAAAGTATCCTCAAAAGGGTAAACTAGAATTACACGCGTTGTACGTTTGTGTTTGTTGCGTATCTATGAACTACCAAATAAATGGTCGACTGGAAAACGTTGTGCTTGAAGAGTCATTAAGGAGAGCTACTCCTGGACACATCGCCTGTTGTATATTCCTTCTTTTAAGCTATTGTCGAATGTGTGTCGTCGCTTTTTTAAAATTAGTATTAATCGGGCTTGTGGCACCACTGCCAACGATGCAGGATCGCAAAATACATTCCGATGATGATCATGGAGCACCCGCGTCCTGTGGTAGAGAGTGGCCCACGGAAGAAGACGTATCAGAACTACTTCTGAAGACACTTCAATGGTCCCCTTTATCCACCCCTAGGGTCACACCTTGAAACACTTCGCAACGGATAGTTCATTACATTTCTAACAATAATATTTCATCCGAGCTGGAATGTTGGCAAGTGAAGTAAAATAAAACAACGAATTTAACGTGACGCCACGTTTTCGTCCAGCCATTGCTGACCTAAGACCACACAACTCGCTACAAAGGTAAAGGTGCAGCCCTTGCAATGCCCTGCTCACGTCACCGCCGGCAGAAGCGCCTCCACGAGAGGGAACTCCAGAGCTGCTCATGCAGGGAAGTATTGGCTATACACTTTGGTTCTTTCGGTAATGTCACGTAGGTGAAAAAAAAAGAAAAAAATTCACCTACGTGACTTTACCGAAAATAGAAAATAAATATTTTTTTTCACTTTTTCACCTACGTGACTTTATCGAAAGAACCAAAGAGTATGGATCCTTGCAGTCACGAACACATTCCTGCGGAAGGAGCTGGTAGTAACGTTGGGTTGCTCGGTCAATGGCCAGGGTCAACGGCGGCGTGGTGTATTCTGCAAATATGCCCGACTGTGAGGGCGGGCACAAGCCGGCGTGAGTAGGTTAAACGTTGATACAGGTAGGAACAACAGGTTCCACACTACCCACCAGGGATTATTTGTCTGTCGTGCATAGGAATGCAGCCCACCCATGCACCCCCCACCGACCGCCGTGAAAAGGGCCACGATTGGTTGAGGATGTCGGGGAGGGTGGAGGGAAGGTAAACACACCAAATAATCCAACTTCCCCCTCCCCAAACACCGAGCGGGCCGCCATTGGTAGAGGTGGGATGTAAACACGCCCACTCATGCAATCCCCCCCCCCCAACCGAACACCGAGCAACGCCGTGATTGGTTAACAATGTCGGGGAGGGTGGGGGGGAAGGGTAAACACGCCAACTCATCCAACTGCCCCCCCCCCAACGCCGCGCTGAGTGTGTGTGTGTGAGAGTGTGAGAGTGTGTGTGAGTCTGAGAGTGTGAGAGTGTGTGTGTGTGTGAGTCTGAGAGTGAGTGTGTGTGAGTCTGAGAGTGTGAGAGTGAGTGTATGTGTGTGTGAGTCTGAGAGTGTGAGAGTGAGTGTATGTGAGTCTGAGAGTGTGAGAGAGAGTGTATGTGTGTGTGAGTCTTAGTTACCTAGAGAGTTATACAGGTAGGAACAACAGGTTCCACACTGCCCACCAGGGATTATTTATCTGTCATGCATAATTCCTCCCACCCATGCACCTCCCCACCGAACACCGAGCTACGCCGCGATTGGTTAACGATGTCGGGGAGGGTGGGGTGGAAGGGTAAACACGCCCACTCATCCAACTGCCCCCCCCCCCCACCCTCTGAACGCCGCACTGTCCAACTAAGTTCCTACCTGCCCACTCCGAAGGAACGTGTTAAGTAGTTGAGGGCACCACGGGGTGAGCAGCCCCTCCCCACCCAGCCCCACCCCTCCCACCCCCCAGCCAGCCCCACCCTTCCCACCCAGCCCCTCCCCACCCTCCCGACCCTCCCCTCCCCACCCAGCCCCTCCCTGCACGACGGACAAAATAATCCCCTGTGGGCTGGTGTAACCAGGAGGTTGCTACCAGTAAAACTTCAAATCTAGAATGAATTATTGGCTATACTCTTTCACACTGGTCAGACTACTTGAAAGACGTGGGAATAACCACACTTCATCCCACCACATGCAGCCTGCTTATCGACTGACTATTGGGGTGGTCCAGTATCACTGACCATTGCACCACGCTTGGGAAACCTGGGTTTAGTTACGGGTGGCGATAGACCCAGATTGTAACCCAGGCTCTCGGTAGTGGCGGCTCAATGCTTCGAAATAATAAGAGCCCACCCCCCCCCTTCCCAATCCACCCAGCCACCTCAGGGAACTGCAGATTAATCAAAGTTAAGAGCTTGTTCAGATTTTTCCAGGAGCTCATCATGTCAGACATGGCTAATGGAATGTAATCGCTGCCATTCATTTTCAATCTAATCTGTGGCCAGGTGTCACACCTTCGCTTTAAACACGAGGGGTGGGGGGGGTATCGTCTACTTAGCTGACATCATCAGTATTGGTTAATCCACTCCTGGATGAACGTTTCTCCAAGCTGCCAAGATCTATCACTATCCTGTGATGCAACAATAAATATGCTTCGTACCTAATTCCATCTCCTCTGTGTCCATGCACCCAGACACGTTCCATTCTTTGGCTATCACATACTTGTATAATTACTGTTCAGCATTGTTACCGTAAAATTATTTTTTATGCACGATTCAAAAAGTGTGCTCATTCATATTAAATTATTGTTTCGTGAATAATGCAATTTAATATTTTTGCCAGCAAGCTGAACTAATACAAAATGTTATAATAAATGGGATTTTCCCCTTTTTTCTGGCAACAAAACTGAAACCGTCCTACAAGGATTAATGTCTGCATTAACAACAATACTTGCAGTCAAAATGCAAACAAAAAACACACTGATAATATATTCATTGTCCTTGAAACTGATTCACACACAGCTTTCTTTTGAGCCTCGTCTCAATTGGTGCTCGACCAGATGACGCCAAAAGGCGTACACAGCTCAAAGACAATGCCACTATCAAAGTAATGAGGGCTCGGGTGAGTATCTACATCATTAGACCTCCTTTGCCAGTACCAAAATAGAAAAAAGGGGAAAACCCTATTGTTATATTTTGGAACTGGCAATGGAGGTCTAATGATGAGATACAAAACGTTACTTAATGTTACAAACAAAAACATTTGATGTCATTTGTCCGAAAGCGACAAAGTGCATTTTTGTGTATACTTTTGCTTCGTTTAACTTCACCAATCTCATTAACCAGACTCTGACCCTGGTAATCAAAAAGAAGAAAGTGGGTCAAACAATACCACAACGAATTTCGATTTAAAGCTTTCGTGACTTCAGGGAGTCATCTTCTTGGTTCTTTCGGCAAAGTCACTTAGAAGGGAAATAATTAAATAATAAAATAAAACATAATCAAATAAAACACCATAAAATATGTTATTTTATTATGTTTTATTTTTTATTAAAAATAAAAAAATATTTTATTTCATTATGTTTAAATTTTATTATTTCCCTTCTACGTGACTTTACCGAAAGAACCAAGAAGATGAATACCACAACGGCAAAGAATACAAAATCAGTAGAGCCATAAGAGTAGGTTTTACCCTTTCTGCCAATAAAACAATTGTGCTAAGATGTTAAAACACCGAACATAAACCTTTTGCAAGGAATCATGTCTACATTAAGCACATATACTTGCGGTGAACATGCAAACTAAAAAAACATGCTCTGGTAGTATATGCATTGTCTTTGAAACTAATTGGTCCATCTTCTTGGTTCTTTCGGTAAAAGTCACGTAGAAGGGAAATAATAAAATAATAAAAATAAAGCATAATAAAATACAATTCTCACGACGTTTCGGCCACAACGCAAGCAGCCGTCCTCAGGTGAAGAACAGGTCTGTCGGAAAGATAGCGTCTGAATGAACACCACCAAGCTTGGCAGCATATATTTAAGCTGGGTTAGAGGAGGAGAGCGCTTAAAATCGAAATTTAATTGGTCCATACCAGAGGAAGCTTTCATGAGAGCCTAGTCTCAAACAGTCTTAGACCAGAGGATGCCAAAAGGTGACCAGCACAAAGACAATGCCACTATTGGGACATTGTTAGGTGTTTGGCGTTCTCTGGTCTAACACCGTTTGAGACTGGGCTCTCATGAAAGCTGTCTCTGGTGTGGACCAATCCGTTTCAAAGATAATGCACATACTACCAGAGCATGTTTTTTTGTTAAGCACATGTTTTATTTCCAGAAAGGGTAAAAGCTATTCTCATATTTTGATACTGACAAGGGAGGTCCCATCAGTAGAACCAAATCACATTTGCAGGAGACATCAAAACGACTGCACACGTATATGTCTCAATATTACGTGAAATCACATTTCTGTGACATAAGTTGGCTTGGCCAATTTCGTTTCTAAATATTGACAGTAGAATTATGTTTAAAAAACATTACGCAGCATTATTGTTTAAACATGTCTCCAGCCAGCACGGTCGAGCGAGCGGCTCGTAATCAGAAAGTTGTGGGTTTCAATTCCTACTTGATTCGGTCGACTCGGCCAATCATCCTTCCAGGGCAAGCCGGCAGGTGATGTCACGTGGATCGACTCGTGCCCCCGCCACTGGAATGAGGAACTTCCACCACTGGCTTAGGACCGCAAGCAGTCGATGCGAATTTGAGGAATTTCGGTCGATAATTGTTTGCAAGCCCAATCATCATATAAAGTCATAACGTCACCACACCGACCTCTGGAGGGATGGTCCAAGAAACCACGGACCGCACTGCAATCACCTCTCTGGATGTGCGTATGTTGAACTTCTTTCGCGCACAATAAGTGGTCAACCGTGTCGAACCCTTCACAACAATAAAAAAATGACTTGGCTCAGCACGTGAAAAGTCCACCTTTTGCACATCTGTAACCAATGAACTCAGCAGATATATTTATCCAAAGATTAAAAAAACGACCTGGGTGATCGACACAGAGAGTGGGGGATTGTGAGAGTGAAAAAATGCCCATTTGAAAGGGTTTTCACTGCCAAAACACCTAAATTTGTCACAGGATCTCTTCATGGATTAAATTATAGTAAATGTGGCTACAACAGACGCGTTCGGAGGCAGACACATCATCACAAAGAGGCACTCATGAGCGGCTCAAAAAGAAACCACACACACCTTTTGCCAGTTCCATCATTTCCAGCTGGTGGCTGCAAAATAACAACAAATCCATGGGGACCAAGTGCAACGGGGAACAGATGACGGTGCACTCACCGCGGAGTTACTCGCCGGAGACCAGCGTGTTCCTGGACGCGCCGTCGGACCCTAACGCCAAAGACGGTCACGTGCTAACTCGGCCACGGCTGCGAAGGTGGGTGGGAGCAGGGCTCGTGGTGAGGGTCTTTTTGTGTTAACCACGGGCTCGATGCCGCATCTTGAAAGGCACGCGGCATGCACGTGGATTCATCCATAAGAGTTTTTTTTTTTGGGTTAGATCGCGTAAATAAACGTGTCGTTAAAACCCGCCACCACCCGACACAGCCAATTAGTAAGGGTTGTCAAGCCAAGTCGTCACATTTACATGTTGTGGCTTGGCTCTCCAACACACCGGTGTGCTGTACTAGTATTGTACACTATACACTACACACTACACTATACACAACACTATACACTACACTATACACTACACTATACACTACACTATACACTACACACTAGTGCTGTGCTAGTGACGAATTGGCACGTTCAGTTTACGTGACAACCCTTACTAGTTGGCTGTGTCGGATGGTGGCGAGTTTCTACGACACATGTATATATTTACGCGATCTAACCCAAAAAAATAAACCGCTATTATGGATATTGGTCGCGAAAAGCCTACGTGTTAAACTGACGCGGATGCATTTTTGCATCGTTTGCAAGTGGCGTGGCGATGAACATTTGGGCAAAGAGGTCTGCGGAATTTTAGCGGAAGAGAACCCCTGCCTCTTAGGGTACACGTTTAGACCTTTTTGCCGTGTTCACCGAAACGTGGTGCCGGAGCCGTGCCAAGCCGAGGCAATCCCGGTGCGGCTCAGGAGGCCCCAGGTTGTTTTTTCTATTTTCTTTCCACCGCAAAAGCCGAGCCGTGCCGCTGAAGTCGCAGGTGCGCAGGTAGATGCCACGCGGTGTGCCGTCTTCCTCACAGTGTTACCGACTGAAGTCGCACGCAATGAATGCATCATCTTCGACCTGTCCCTTTGGCCCTTCTTGGCCCCAAGGTAGATCGCGATGTTTTTTGTGAGGCCAGCCATGTCACTGTTTGGTCACGGCTCAGCACAGCAAATGGCCGGTGAAAAACTGTCCATGCTGTGAGAGCCCTACGCTGGCGTGGCTCAGATGTGCCAATGGAAAAGGGTGCCATAACAACAAATGATTTCCCTCTCCCTGAACCCAAAGATGTTTTGTTATTTTGATCACCACACACTTCTTCATTCGAGGGGCATTTTGTGGGCTAAATTAGGCGTCACCAGTTACAACACGGCATGTGAAAAAACTGCCACAATGAGACGCGTGGAAATCACCGCAAAACAGAACCATTACGTGGAACACCACAAAGGCATTTATTTCCCAATGAACTTTCAAAAGCAAACAAGACATCATGCACAAGTCATGGGCAATGACCACCAGCAGAATAACGGCAAGGTTTTGTAAAGAGTAAAACACCGAATGTATGTTACAAAAAAAGTCACCAAATACAAAATTAGAAAAAAAATCGATCATAAATTCTTGATTGTGATGCGGCTACTTCTTACGAATATTAAACGATATTGTTCTTAAACATTCCATTCGAATACAAATACATAGGCAGCCGGATGGCTTTGCTAAATCCAAATACAATGCATTTATTTATATTGACAATTTAACCACGCACTAGGTAGGACGTTAAATGCAGTTGTTCACAGACAGCCAGCCACGTTTTCTAAAGAGACAAAGTAAAATCGCACGAAAACCATTGATGCAGTTCCGCATTCATTAATAGCATAGGACCTTTGCTGACCCCGGTGGAATAGTTTAAATAAAATCAAACTCCCACTTGACACACGTTCACATCACAGCAACACGACTAATGCATACCAATTAACCAGCGGGTGGGCCTTGTTTTGGGAATTATTGAGTTAACACAGATTGTCACAGCCATCCCAAATGACAGTTTCAGTGAGCACAGTTTAAATTGTGAAGTTTTTATCTGACACCAAACATTATCATGGTTGTCGAGTAATATCTATGTGCGAGTGTGAACAAAACACTACCCCCTCACTTCACGAAAGTTCCTGGACCAGATGGTATGACTGTGAAGATCATCAAATTAATGAAAGCTATTTAATGTATGTTTACACAGACGTTAAAGCCTTCAATTACAGTATAACGACTCATTGTATTGTATTAAAAAAGATAAAAAAAATAATTCAAGAATTACAGAGCCATTAGTCTCTTCGCACATGTATATACATTCTTCACAAGGATCATACGGGAGATTTAGGGGGCAAAATCTATAGGCAAGCCACGTTTAACCATTGACCACATACACACTATTAATTGGATTATGGTATAGACTAACATCATATCCTATTACGCCGAGCCTTCATTTAAAATGAAGAAAAAAACATTCGATTCAGATAGCTGCGATGAAGTCAGCGAAAGCTCATAGGAAACTGACTCCCAAGTAAAATAAAAAAAAATGTTGAACCGCTTACAAAAAATGATTGGGTGGACACAGTAACGACATACACGCGAGAAGGGGAGTCAGACAAGGTGGTGCGGCACCTTCGCCCCAAGATATTCGCAGACACGCGGGGGATTGTTTTTCTTTTACGAACAATTGGCTCGGATAAACACAGTCATTATTACAAATGCAGAAAATATTAACCATCTCAGTACCTACTGAAAACGCAGCCGTTTATGGCAACCGATGGGAATTAAATGCAGGCAATAATAATGTTTAGATTTATATAGCGTCGTCCTTCACGCAATGTGCATCTAACAGCAGATAAGCTGAGACGCAGAAGCCAGGCGGTAAGCCGGTACCAATAATTACTACAGTTCTGAAGCCCTCGGTATATATATATATATTTTGTTTTTTATAATTTTGTCTTCTTTTACTTTATACCAATGCAAAAATTAGCACCAACTGAAATTTTCGGCAATACGTAAAAAGAAGGAACACATTCATTATCAAAGTTTTTGGGTTTAGATCGCGTTATTTATAAATGTGTCGTAACCCTCCACCACCCGACACGGCCAATGAGTAAAAATGTGTCACGTTGACAAAGACAAATAGTTCACTGCTTTAGCCCACCGGTGTGTTGAAGCCACAACATTTACAATTTGAGTACGACGTTTCGCTGGTAATTGCATCCAGCATCATCGGGCAATTCGCCAGAATGGTGAGGCTCTGCTGTGTCTCCCGTCCTTATATAGAGCAGCAGCAGGGTGACGTCATCATTAACTCATTAACTCATCAGGTGCAAAGATTCAAGGGGGGAGTGATTGTAATTATATACTAGATTAGTAATCAGGCTATTGTTACGATGCGAGTTGTAGATTAGTAATCATTTGGAATGTGTTTTATTGTGATTACTCGACGTATTTTAACGATTCCCTGTGACCCCCGATGGCCTTGGACAACAAGCGGTACCGATCACAATATCCTTTACTCACGGCTATGAGAGATTCACATTTTACAACAACGACGGCACTCAAAACGGTCCATGTGCAACTCTCAACCAATACGCTCGATCAACCCGAGAAATCATGAGTGTAAACTGCACCCAACTGTTGATCAGTGAGCATGAAACGCTCGACCAGTGGAGCATGGGAGAGGAGATATGTGCGATTGTCGAGGAGTGATTTAGGAAAGGACCACGGGGCCTGGCATTTTTAGATCTGGATAAACTAAATAACATAATGGCTCTGGAGCAGTGGCACAGCGGTTAGTGGTGCTGAACTCTGAACCGTGTAACTTAAGTTACATTTTTCTAATCCTGCATAATGCACGGACACAAGAAGTACTAATCACATACCTGCATTTCCCATGGGTATGCTGGATTCCTCTTGATATGCAAATTATTTTGTCAAGGCGCCCCCCCCTTTCAACCCAGCTTATATATATGCTCCAAGCACGTGTGCTGTTTCATTCAGACGTTGTCGCCTCGACAGACCTGGCTTCACCTGAGGACGGCTGCTTGCGTTGTGGCTGAAACGTCGTGAGAATTATTTTATTATGTTTTATTTTCATTATTTTATTACTTCCCTTCTACGTGACTTTACCGAAAGAACCAAGAAGATTAAGTTCAATTCCTGGTCAAGAATAAAATGGGTGGCTGTCTTTGCCCTACAATTATAAATTATTCTTTTTTTTACCAGGTAAGGTCAACTGAGCTCTATAGCTCTTTTTCAAAAGCGACCTGGCCACAAACGATAGCTCAACGAAGTGGCTTATCATGTTGAAATGTATCGCAGCCAAATACAAAATCGGGATCGAACCCATGACTTCCTGTATGCCAGGGCGAGGTAATTAACATCTCACTACCGCGGCACCCTGCCTCCTCCGCTCCCCCACCACCTTCACAAACACACACTGACCAGCATGGTGAAGTATAGTCAAACACCCATGACCGACACATGCTTTGGGACGCCTTCATCTAGCAGCGGATTGACAATGGATTGTAGGCTATCATCATCATCATCGCTAATCTTCTTGCGATCAACTCAATTGCTATTCGTATTCAACAACACGTCACACTGCCAAACCCATCTGGCCAAGAACGACGTCGGGAAGGGGTGGTGCATGGCTAGACTGAGCTGGGAATATTTGATAGCGACTTGTCAGGAGCCGTTTCCATAAATAGACGTAACAAGTCAACGCGGCGACAGCTCAACCTCTCTCTCAGGCAAACGTTGCTTTGACATTGCGATGTCTCGGGGTAGTTGCCCATCCTGTGGGCCGTGATGTCATCATGAGCGATGGCATGATGAGCAAATCCGGGTAAACCACAAGGGTGGTCAAATTGCATCCCACCAACAGAGAGACAAAGATTCCCCGTGTAGCATTTGGGGTGATAGCTGTTTGCGAGCAGCTATTGACCTCGCTGATCTCGTAGAGGAGCGTACACCATCACGATAAACTCCGGTCATCCTCGCAGTGGCTTTTGGCTAACCGTCGGACGAAAACAATTAATGCATCGCGCGCTTTCAGGTGTGCTTCTGTGGCCGTCAGGAACCCTCTTTCTTTCGGTATTAGGAAGCCACTGGAGCTATGCACTTTGTTTTTTATCTAGACTTAAAAGGCATTTCTCTAGAACTGCTTTTTGTGTTTAGATTGTTATCCTTCCCCCGCACCTCCGAAAAGCTCGGTTGCCGATGTATGGCGCGAAAGAAGTTCAACATAAATACAAGGCCGGCACAGCGTGCGAGGGAGTGGTGTGGCAGTTACAGCGCCCAGCCACCTTTGTCTCCCCAGTGAAAATTTTCACACACCCCGGCAGATACTCAATTCAAGTTGAGTTGACCTCATGGGAAGACCCTGGACTGCTTGAGATATGTTTCACAAGTGTGAGTTCTAGCCGGGAATTGAACGCGGGTCACCCAAGTTTGCCATGCAATGCATTCACCACGGCACTTGGCGCTCTCCACATCACGAGCACATCTACCAAACACGCCAGCCGGCACACAAGCATGGAAGTAATGCAGACATAAAGAAAACCACCACGAGAACACATAATGTACGGCAGTCCAGTGAACAAACCAAAAATATCAATGAAAATGTATCTACATTCTCCTTTCTTTAGTTGTTAAACAAAAGCAAGTTTGATAAGCCAAACTAATTGCATGCAACAAAAACATACCGTTAAACATAAAGACTCGCGTCAAAGTGTTTGAGCTGCAAGGGACTGTGGGAAGACAGCCACAGTGCGAAGCAAGCCTCACTTGAAGTAGAAGGTAAAGGTGCAGCCCTACAATGTCTTGACCACATCACAGCTAGAGGAAGGATAGCCACTAGAGGGAGCTCTATAGAGACCCTCTAAAGGGTGTTTTGGCCTACTCTTCCATGCTCGAGAAATAATACGAGACGTAGAGTTGCTTGATGTAACATTTTAAAATGCGGGGGGAAGTGTATGCAAATGAAATTCACTTTTCTCACAACTACACTTCTTCTTCGTCGTCCGATAAACCTCTCGTTAAACCAAGACCTTGTTCGACCCTCCACGAACTCGACTGAGATCCTGGAAACCAATCTGGGATCGCCACGCGAGACAATCGAATGAAGCGGGGTCCACTGGTGACCGCTGGCGAACGCCACGGATTTCTGCCGAGGTTCCTAACCAAAGCCTCAATGGGAAGTCTTTTGACGCGTTCCACAAGGCCCACTCCTCCCTGAAGCTACCACATGGCACACAAACTTAAACCCGGACGTATAATTTACACCGACTTGGCATATGCTAGAAAAAGTAGTGCGGTGATTTAAAATAAACACGACAACAAAAATAACATAAAACACCAGTGTTTAAATCGAAGGCTGTGGTCATCACAGATTTCCATAGGTCACACGGCTACCACCAAGCGTGTTTATTCAGGCGCAGCAGTTAAATGCCCTCTTTTAAATCACTCCATTCTTCTTGTACGATTTGTGGCCCGAGTATAGAATGTTACGGTCGTCCGAATTATAGTGCCCCATTCCTTTTTTTTCGATTTAAAGCTTTCGTGACTGCAGGGATTCATCTTCTTGGTTCTTTCGGTAAAGTCACGTAGAAGGGAAATAATAAAATAATAAAAATAAAACATAATTAAATATTTTATTATGTTTTATTTCCCTTCTACGTGACTTTACTGAAAGAACCAAGAAGATGCCCCATTCCTGTCCATCCGAGTTCACTGACATCTAGGATCTGCATGCCGAACTCAGAGGTGGATGGACGACATCAAGAACACCACAGGCCTTACACTAACCCAGCAACGTGAAGCAGCGAGGTGTGGAGGGCAGAGTATGGTCGTAGATGTCACCAGAGGTCGTACTCGACCTGACGCCACAAGGTGAGTTAATTACCACTCGTACCGCGCGTTGCTTGGCGCCAAGTCCGACGCTTTGCTCCACGCGCTAAGAACTTCACCTTCAAGGACTGAAGAGCCAATTCAGAGAGTTCGGAACTGAACCGATGCACCCTTTCGGAAGAAGTTCCCAAGCAGGCGCAAGAGAAACGTCAGGGCTTCGTGCCGAACAACACGCAGCGGCACGGCCGCGAAAACCACGCCGGAGAGCTGCACAGCCACAAGAGCGTACAAAAGCTACGCCGCCGGACACAAGTGATCACCGCTGCGGAGCCGCCGGCTGATTGAACCAGCGGTTCTTAACCTTGACTGCAGCCTTGCACCCCTTTGGTTCTCGATCATTAAAAAATGTAAGTATAATGGTCATAAATACATAGGGGTTGTACTCACGTGCCCGTGCTAAATTTGTGTTTTCGATGATTTACCTTCTAAACAAAGTCTGGCCATGCCTCGCTACCCCAAGAAAGGGCATCTCGTACCCCCAGGGGGTGCAGCGTGCACCCCAGGTTAAGAACCACTGGGTTCAACCAACAGGGACCACTCGGTGCCCACCATCATCATTGTCTCTGCGCTAAGCTTGTCGGGGTACTGTTGGATTTTTTTGTAAACTTTTTTTTTTAATCGTCATTAAAGAACCCAGAATGCAGTGGGGAATTTCAAAAAGACGTGGGGGGGGGAAACAACAGGTTACGTATATATATATATGAAACAAAAGCCAGGCGTAACGCACTCTCAAAATTCGCGAATGAACGAGGGCACCTGGGGGCCTCGCTGCCCTACCGCGGGTTAGGGGCCTACTCTTGGATCTGTTATATAATTTTTTAGCCCTCGGCGTTTTCCGGGAAGAAGTTTCGCAGCACGCTGAGCCAGCGCTCCTCGCAGACGCGCGGCAGGTCGGAGGGTCGCAGGAATCCCCAGGGCGGGGGTCCCCCCAGACCGCGGCACACCAAGTACGGGATGGACACAGTGTGCATGTAGATGGACGGCTCGGTGAGCAGCGCGGCGCAGCGTGCGCTCACCTCCCCGAGGCGCCGCAGGATCAGGCTGGCCTTCCTGTGGGGGGGGAGGGATCGCAGAGAGAGAGAGAGACGCGCACACCAACAGACTGATGACGCGAACGGAGATACAGGCATCTCGCGTACGGTCGTACGCAATTCTGTGGCGGGTGTTGTTAGCGAGCACCGATTAAGGCACGGCGCTGGACGGATTCATCTTCTTGGTTCTTTCTGTCGAGGAGACAGACCTGTTCTCCACGTGAGGACGGCTGCTTGCGTTGTGGCCGAAACGTCGTGAGAATTATTTTATTATGTTTATTTTTTATTATTTTATTATTTCCATTCTACGTGACTTCACCGAAAGAACCAAGAAGATGAATCCCTGCAGTCACGAAAGCTTTAAATCGAAATTTAAAGCTGGACGGATTGTTGCATTACAGGATAGTGAGAGGTGGCGGAGGCTTCCGGAGGCTTTCATCCAGCAGTGGATTAATCAAGACTGATGATGATGATGATTAAAACTCAAGGAGTACATTTTGTGGTGCTGACGCGCGGTTCCCTTATCGCTCGCAGGAAGGTTTGGTCTCCTTTTGTTGACTCGCTTGGGATTTGAGTCCTCTGACCCATCATCGTATTTTCCACTTGTCACTTCACTTTTCCCTCTTTACTGTTATCTGCTCTCTGTTCTTCCAGCTTTCCCACTCTTCCACTTTCATTTAATCGCTTCTCTGTTGTTCCCTCGATCGTCATTCGGGGCCTCTATCGCTAAACGTGTTCATGCTCGGGCACCGTGCACCCCGCGTCTGCGCTCCCCTGTACCTGTTGTTGCGTAGTACATCATATTATAAGTAAGATTATTATTAATAATATTACAAATAATATTATTACTCTTGGTTCTTTCATGTAGAAGGGAAATAATAAAGTCACGTATAAAGATAAAATAATAAATTAAATCAATACAAGCATACGACGTTTCGATTGCAACACAAGCAATCATCATCAGGTATAAATTAAATAGAAACACAAATCTAGTATACTTAGAAATGTACTGCAATACAACAGAGAGTCGGATAACATAACAGTCAACACCCTATCTGGTTGATTACGTTCTTCCTGAGAATGCTGATGTTTACCCAACCCGAGCAAGTATTTATTTCAGGCCAAGCCAACTTAGGGGAGGCCCACGAATAGCTGAAGAGAATCGCCACCGATGTTCAACTCGGGTCACCGGGTTCGAACCAATTCACTTCCTTGAAGAGGGTCCCGGCTCGTGCAGCGAAACGCCGGACATCATATGCCTGACGACTGGCCGTGATCGTCGTGCCAATACTTTGTTGGTCCTGAGCAGAACCGGCCCTAGACCTTTGGGGGCCTTAAGCAAAATTTGGTTGGAGGCCCCTTTGATGTAGGATTTTTTTCACCCACTAGCTAGCAGTGACTCTAGGGGGCCCTCTGCTGGCCACGGGGCCCTTTGCAATTGCAAGGGTCGCTTAGTGGCTGGGCCGGCTCTGGTCCTGAGCACCGGCGGTTTCCATCCCTTCCTCTAGCTACGTGTCCTGCCCAACGCCCAACTTACTTTATCAACCACCAATAAGGTGTCCCGACAGAGTAGCGAGAACCTGATTCATTTTGCTCCTCTGTCTGTTTCACAGTCAAGTTCCATGCATGCGCCTCCCGCCCCCCCCATACTCATTGGCACGCTCTTCAGCTTTTGTTCAATTTAACGTTTTGAATGAAATTAGTGTCCGTTAACACAGTTCACAAACACTAATTTACGCAATATCATTTCACGGAATTTGTATTGGCAGTGTGCCAGAGGAGTGCTGAGTAATAAATTGCATTGGACACGCACTCGCAAGCACGGAAACATCGCGAAGGACGTTATAATCAAGCGCGCGTGTGCTTGTGAAGCTGAGATTATTGGTGAGAGCCGACTGCCCAAGGATGACCGCGGCTGACGATGGTTGGGGCGAGTTAGGGGGCTAAGGCTGTGTCAAGAATCACTCAGCCAGAGCCGCTGACGTCCTAAGCTTTAATGCTGACTTCCAGCCTCTCCTTCTTCCACGCGTTTGTCCCACTCACGTGGGGGTGTCCGCTGTCCTTGCCAACCATCTCCACGTCGCCCTGTCCTGCGCCATCTCGCTTTCCGCTCCTCGGGCCAACATGTCCCTTCACTTGATGCAGCAAATCTGGCTGTGACGGTCCCACCTGATGACGGAGACTTGTGTTGCCTCCGAAACGTCGTGATTTTATTTTTATTAATTTTTATTTCATTTTTTTCCTACGTGACTTTACCGAAAGAACTAAGAGTATGTCCGATCGCACCACGTTTTTTTTCTTTCTGCCTTCCTCTTGATCTCTTTCCTTCCCCTTGCATCACTTGCACCTTCTGACCCATGTGATTTTCCTGTAGTCTCTCAACATGACCGAACCACACCAGCGTTTTCTCTCTCTCATCTTCTCTGCGCATAAACTGGGTTCTCAAGTGCAACGGAGTTGATTGCCTCAGCCTGGTTATTGCAACAAAAATCGCCACAACCATCATCGGGCCTTGGTCAATTCCCTGCTGGGTGAAGGCCTCCCCTCAATTCACCGCCATTCCTCACGATCCCACGATATTTAACATTCTACCTCACGCCTGCACAGGAGCCGATTTCATTGCTCCATCTCCTCGGTGCACGTACTTTCGGATGTCGCCATCATCTCTTCTTGCGGTGAGTCCTTCCCAAGCCCACTTACTTTTCTTAGCAGCGTTCGAGGTGTCTTTCGCCTGCCTGCCTTCTCTAAGGCACGCGCTCATCTTTCCGTCTCTCAATTTAAAATCCAAAGCGTGCATCCTCTCTCTATCTCTCTCTCCTTTGCGCGCAACTTTTCAGTTTACAACAACAAATCGTTGTTAAATTTAGTTCGAGATTAAAACGTTTGGTGTGGACATTGCCACGTGACGCGCGGGGCACGTGAAAAGGTGCATCAACCGGCAGAGAACGAGGGCTTGTGCTAAAGGAACTTCGCAAATATCCGCGTGTGACATCATTGTCAAAGTCAACGCTCTGACGCAAGAGGATTCCGTGCTCATCCGCCAAGGGTTCCAAATTGAAATCACTCCGTTGCATGAGAAAGTGAAAGAGACGGAAAACATGAATGAGTCAAGTTGAGAAGTGCTTCTAAAGCAGCGGGGAACCACCAATCACAGGCTTCATTCAAGCTGCACAATCATTGGCAAGCACGCACACACGGAGAAATGTAGCAAAACATTCTAGATTTGAAGCAGAACGCATCGGGAGGGGGAGGGGGTCCGGGCCAAAAGGATGGACGACGCGGCACACGTCCACGCCGCCGACTCTCGTGTGCCGCGTCGTCCATCCTTTTGGCCCCGCCCCCCGCCCTCCCGATACGTTCCATTCATTGGCTACCACATTCTGATGAGCTCCCCCCCCCCTCTCCTCCCCCCTCAACTGGCATTTAAGGGATTACATCTTGAATCCTTGCCTCACTTGATGCAGCAAATCTGGCTGTGACGGTCCCACCTGATGACGGAGACTTGTGTTGCCTCCGAAACGTCGTTATTTTTATTTTATTTTACTTTTATTAATTTCAATGTTTTACCGACGTGACTTTACCGAAAAAACCTAAGAATATGTAGCAAAACATAAAAAATTAAATCAAATTTTTTACAGCGCTTTTGCTTGGCAGAAAGCGGCTGGCTGCAGGAATGGTGGGGCAACATCGGCAGCAACATCACTTCCTTATCGCGAATCTTCCCACAACTCTATTCAACTCCATTTAACTGCCATCAGCCTGGGCCCTGCTGAACAGGTTCTGGACAGGGCAAGGTCTCATCTGCGAAAATAGAGCTTTGTAGCTCATCGGATTTTGCCAGGACGGGTAAGATTCTGATTTGTGATTACCTGTGGAGTCATCTTCCGACATTGGGGTCTTCGCGATGACCCACACCGCAGCTGTGGCACCGTACAAACGGTGCCGCGTTTCGTTGACGTACGTACGCATATTGAACTTCTTTCGCGCCGTGCGTAGCCAACCGTGCAAATCGGAGGCGCGGGGGAAGGACAACAAAGTAATGACTGTCCACTGACTAAGTCCAGCAGAGCTCTACGGCGATTACGCGCCACATGGCTCGGAGATTACGCACTCACTGAACAATCAGCCCCTCTGTCAATACAATGCTGGATGAAGGCCTCTCCCAATGCCTTTTGATCATGGGGTTTGTTTGACCACACTTCACCACGCTAGTAAGTTCAGATATCGCTCGCATCTGATATTAACAGTGGATTTAAAGCCAGGTCCGGATGTGTTCATATTGCAGGGCACTAACCGCGGTGCAACCATTCCACAACCTACCCTTATGGAGCAAGATTGGCTACCTTTGATGACAAAATGACAGGGCCACGCGTGACGCAATGGCAATACGCAGTGTAGCAAAAAAATGATAATCGCTTACTCCAAAAAAAAATTGCGTGCGCATTGTTTGAAGGTTCACCACCACTTGCGTTTTCTGGCGTGGGACCCATTGTTTAACCCACGGAATCACGTGCGCGTGGGGGCGTACGTGCGTGCCTGTGCGTGCGTGCGCGTGTGGGTGCACCGCGCTTTCGTCGCACACGCTCCGTGCACCATTGATTCTCCGTTGCGGGGGGGGAGGGTGAAATGCCACGAGTGGCACAAGAGTGACCTCCACTCGGATCCCCGTGCCTCGACGGAACCGGCGACGCAAGTGACGTGGGAACCAAGTTGTCGGCACTTTCAAGAAGGGGCGGGGGGGGAGTGGGGGGGGAGGAGCATCCCCTTTTCATTTCCCATGCTCGTGTCGCGCACGCAAGAGGCAATTCCGTCATGGGAGATTTGGAGCAAATTTAGGGGATTTCCCCCCCCACCAAGGACACCGGCTCGCCCCGTAACTGCTGTAGCAGCAGCCGTCTGCCCGAGCTTTGAAATGCTTCTCAAAAATTTACCGTCCGAAAAAATGTGCATTAATACTCACAAGAATTATATATAAAGACAATCAACTATATATAACTTAGAAGATTTGTTTTAGCCTTGGCGAGATCATATATCTTATTGCGTGATTCACATTATGATTTGTGTGTTGTTACTTACTTGCACGATAGCTAATCAATCTTTCTAAATAAGTTTGATAGATACATCTTTCTGGCCCTGGTTTGTGAGTGCCGAGACAACCGAGTAATTATTCAATCAATTATTGGAGACACAAACGGCTGAACACAAACAGATGCAGTTGTAATGATTTTAGAGTAGACGTGTGGTTGATTTATAATAATTCGGAATAATCGTGTCAGTAATTTACAAAGGAAACCATCAATTGGGTACAAGGATCCTTTGCATTGGGGAAGCTTGGCCAATTGCATTAATACGCGTTTGGCCTGTGGGGTTAAACCGGAGAGCCGGGAGAAAACCCCCACCGCACCTACGAGGGGGTCACGCTCAGCGCAACAATTTCCTGGCCACCGCTTCCAGCCCCACGCTTACAGCAGTAACCTGGGTCATTCCCAGTTGGTCTCACCGTCCAAGCCCTAACACCAGCAGTAGTGACGTTACACACGTAGACTTTCGCGGCCAATATCAGGCGATTTACGCGTAAACATTTACGCGATTTACACGATCTAACCCCAAAAAGAATCTATATTATTGACCAGCAGTTATCCTGCTCGGCCCTCTGGGATGCTACGACGTCACACGCAACTCGGGGGTGATTTCGTCATCATCAACTCCGACACCGGTCTCACCGTCGATACATCGATGCACGTTACACAATAATTGCTTCGAGCACAATAGGAAAAACGTCAGCGGTCAATTAAAAATTTAAATTTACTCGGGGGGCAAACAGGAGAGTGTCACAATGCAGGTGGTGGCGTGACGCACACGGCTTTTGAGGACGCGACAAAGGAGAGCGTCGCGTTTTGAAGTGGGCGCACACGCGCGCACACACACAGAAACCTGTGGGCTGACCGAACGAAACCGGAATGTCACGTTTCGAGACTTGTGGAGCGTTGAGGATAATGGGCGAGAGAGGCAGAGATGATTGTCACACTCGATGATCAAGGGGCTGCGGTGACGTCAAAGCGTGGGCAATTTGGAGATCCTGCTCGTAATTGAAAACCATATGCCACCCCAATGTCTGAACATAATGGATCTTTAAGAGCCATATCATTTGCTGAGGAGTTAACGTGCAATAGGAACGGGGCTAATGGGTGTAATGTTGATGACAGCAACATGAGTTACATGCAAAGGGGGAACGCGTGTTGTGAAATAGCCGGACACAATTGCTACTTTGCACAGCGCAGTTACCACAGCAAATGTGGAATTTTGAATTAAAATGAGAATTAAACGCTGGTCTTGCAAAATGAATACATGTCGTGTCAATGATGAATGCGTGCAGACTTTCTGGAGGTCTCGGAAGCTAAGCAGTTTTGCCAGTGACCAACAGGATTGCTGGCCAGGTGAGCAGTGGAAAGGAGGGCAGGAAATGGCCGTGTGGAATGTTAAACCATCCTCTTTTTTTGTATTCTTGGTTCTTTCGGTAAAGTCACGTAGAAGGGAAATAATAAAATAATAAAAATAAAACATAATTAAAAAAATTAATTCTCACGACGTTCCGATTGCAACACAAGCAATCGTTATCAGGTGTGAAAACTACAGCAAGAGAATTTTAGCTGAAGTGGAAGAGATGCTGTGGTAAGGGGTTATATAAGTTAGAGAGGGGGGAGGAGCAAGGGAGGGGGGGAGTTTGGGGAGGGTAGCGTTGCGTGGAATGCTACTGGACGGGGGGGGGTGGGCGGGGCTAGAAAGGTGCAAAAAACCAATGCCACTGCAGCAAAGCCAATGAAAGACACGAAAGCAACAGTAATAATAATAGTTCAATTTATAACGCGCGCAAATTTGCGGACGTAATGGCCGCAACTCAGAGGCGCGGAGCCGAGCTCAGAGTCACTCGAAAGCGTGATTGCAGAGGTGAGTTTTTAAGTGTCTCTTGAAGGAGGCGATTGAGGTGATGCTGCGAATGTGCAGAGGGGTGATGGCGTTCCAGACTGTCGGGGCTGCCACCGAGTAGCAGACGTTGGAGAAAAGCTAACGCCACTACAGTAAAGCCAATGAAAGACAACAAAGTGTGGCACAATAGGAATGGATCACTCTTTTAATTATATCCTTGTGCAGCAAGGGAGTAAAGTGTGGTTCTGTGAAAGTCCTGATGTGCTGTGCAGTGCATCAATGCACGTGTGTACAGCAGCATGTGATCACTGAGTCTGGCCTGTAGGTGGCTGGCAGGGTTAATGAATGACCACGCGGATACACCAGCCACATGGTTAATGGCGACTCGGGAGAAATGCTGGTTGTAATACACGTGCTGTTGCATTTTACAGGTAAAGGACCCAAAGGTTGTTTTTGATCGTTACATAAATGTTCTAGACGGGATAAAATTAAAAGAGTGATCCATTCCTAATGTGCCACAAAAGCAACAGTAGCAGTACTGCCAAACGCTGAGGATGCAATTAACTCAGAACACAATCAATCAAGACCCGAAAAAAAAATCCATCTTTTGTTTGGGTTGTCTCTGGTTGCACTAGTTTCCTCTCGGCTCGATTTATAAACTGGCCAAGCATCTCACAGCAGGACCCTCCTGAAGAGCTTTGAGACTCAGTGAGGCTTTACAGGGTTAATAAGTGCCATTTATCTTCTTGGTTCTTTCGAAAGAACCAAAAGATGAATCCCTGCAGTCACGAAAGCTTTAAATCGAAATTGCCATTTATTGAGCACTGTTTGTGCACCACTGCCAAAGCATTCCTTTAAGATGTTCGTTCAACTTTGAACAATAATAAACGGACACAAATACAGCTCGCAGGGCATAACGTTGAAAATTTTACTTGAACCAAAATTCTAAAATATGGCCCCAATGTTACTTCAATCGGATCTGGCACATTTGCCGATTAGTGGAAATTCGAAAAATTCTGTGGCACAAAGACCTCAGCTGTAACACTCAAGCCCTGGATGTGAGCAACTGCACGAATTCCCTCGAAGGTTTGGGAAACACCAACAGAGGGAGTTGCTAGTTATTTCCCGGCAGTCAGTAAGTTATATAATGGTTATTTAATATGTAATACATCACATTTATTAAAATATGTAATCGCAACAGTGAAGGCTTAATGGCGTTTCAAAAATATTTTCCCCAACTTTTTTTTTGCCATTAAAGGGTCAGATACCATCAGCGGAGAAATGCTCTTTCACACCGGGGCTTCGTAATAGGTTTTGAGAACTCTAACTGAGGCCAAAAATATTTCAGATCAGAAACATTCATATTTTGGGAATTTTTTATTTCCCAGTGCATTGTTATGTGGAACGGCATTACCCATTACTGGTAAATAATGGCCAGAGAGCAGCTCTGAGCATAACTGTGTTTCCAACGATGGTAAATTAAAGGCGGCGTCCACTGCCTTTTAAAAAGAAAATCATGTCTGGGGCGAGAAGAAGTGGTGCAGTGGTGAGTGCATTGCACTTTGAACCCAGAGACTTGAGTTCGAGTTTCCGGCCACTGCTAAGATTCAATAGCAAGTGATATCTCATCTAGTCACACGTCCAACGCCCCTTTCCCTCTTTCCCTCACTAACCCGTACTGACCAGCATGGTGCAGTATGCTCAAACCGTTTGGTGTATTTCAGGCAACACCCATGAAACTAAGAAGCTCTTTTCAATGGCAACCCAGCCAAAGTGGCTGATATGATGGTAGTGAGCACGTCACATGGGAAGGGAGGGTTTACAGGGGCTGCATAGAGTGGCTGATACAACCAACCTCTCGCTGTCTCCACCATGCTAGATCAACACACCACGATCGTCCACCACCACCACCGCCACCGCCCTTACCGGGGTCCCAGCTCGTCCTCGGTGCGCCAGGCGAAGTCTCCGAACTTGCCGTAGTGCTTGTTGTAGTGGCGCTGCACGCGGTGCAGGGCGGAGGGCGTCACCTCCATGAGTAGCTGGTAGGCCGACAGCTGCTCCTTGCCGCTGGTGTAGCCGTTGTAGAGCGTGTGCACGCGGTCCGCCACGTCTACAGGCGAGAGCGGGCGAGATGTTAACTACCTCGCCTGGTCCACAGGAGGTCGTGGGTTCGATCCCGACCTTGAAGCCTGCTGTATATTTGGAGTTTGTGGTGTCTCTCTCTCTCATCATCATCACGGTGGCTAGGAGATGTTAACTACCTCGCCTGGTATACAGGAGGTCGTGGGTTCGATCCCGACCCTGAAGCCTGCTGTATATATTTGTAATTTGCGTGTTCTCCCCCGTGGTCGAGTGGAATTTTCTGCGGGTCCTCTGGTTTTCCCCTCCACATTCAGAGTATTTTTGACTGCAATAAATGTAATATGCCACTTTGTTGGCCAGGCCGCTTCTGAAAAAAGAACTACACAGCTCATTGGGGGCCTTACCTGGTGGAATAAAAATTAGCAAGTTTAATTCGTTTTTGGACGTTGAATAAGCGCGACTTTAACCAATCTTGACTCCTCGACAGAGTACGTTAGCCCCCCCCCCACCCATAATCCCACCCCAAACGTGTTAAACAGTGGCACTACTTAATTTGGGGGGGGGCGGGGTGAGGGAGGGAGGGGCTGTACCTTCAGCCTTGTTGTCATCCACCACCTCGCAGGGCATGCGCATCACAAGCGAGGACGGCTCCGAGCGGCGCCCCGTGCTGTCCACGGCGCGCAGGGTGAACCTGAGAGGCGACGCCACCATCGATTCATAATCAACGTTTTTGGGTTCAGATCGCGTTATTTATAAATGTGTCGTAACCCTCCACCACCCGACACGGCCAATCAGTAAAAAAGTGTCACGTTGACAAAGACCAATAGTTTACTGCTTTAGCCCACCGGTGTGTTGAAGCGTGAAACCACAATATTTACAATTTGAGTAGCGCGACGTTTCGCTGGTAATTGCATCCAGCATCATCGGGCAATTCGACATCGAGATCACGGTCGCGACGTCACCACGGGCCGCGGCCGTTGACGACGCCGCACCTCACCGACGCTCTCTACCCCAGATGTCAGCGGCTGCTGCGTGGTCGACGCGCGACTTCCCAAAACGTGCCTTAAGATTCTCCCACCAACTGCTCTCAGCACCTAGCACGGCTGGCTACGTACGATGCGAAAGAAGTTCAACATTTTTACGTACAGGTCTTCAATCTCCCTTGGTTGCCAGACTTGTGAAGCCTTACGGAGAGCGCCTAACGTAGTGTTTCCAGTTCGAGTGCATGACGTTAATTAAATTTGTCTCATTCACTCAAGATGCGTGCGTTTAATCGTACGTGTAAGTGCAAATTAATATTTCTTACGTTTACGCCCTACGGTGAAGACAAAGCTGTCGAACGTCGACAACATAATTATTATTGCCAAGAATTCTACAACGAAATAAATGCGCTTCGTGAATCAGGGTCCAACGCACCTCTGTGAGTAAATAAAGTTACACAAAAATGCATTCGGCAAACTTATCTCGGTAAAGTCTTCCAACTAATTAGACATGTGAAAAGAATTGCACGAGGGTAATTTTTCACACAGTTGCGCACAAAGTAAAATACAATTATACGTGTGGCAGCAGTTCTGATGGAATTCAACAATTTGGCACCAAGGCAAATTGGAATTCATATAATTGGCATCAATGGGACACGGTTGATCATGTTTTTTTATTAATCCCTCCTTAAATAGAATGCAAAGTAGTGTTTTGTATCTAAATACAAAAAAAATCAATGATCCCCCAAATAGGATTCATCAGACTTTTGTTGTGAGCAGGCACCTGTGAAGGTTGACATGGCACACGAGGGGGTGGGTGGCTAGCAACACGCCTAGCCGACTTTGTCTCCCCAATGCGGATGTTTACACACTTCATTGGGTAATTATTTCAGGCTGGGTTAACCTAGGGAAGGCCCTAGACCGGTTCAAATATTCATCACTAATGTTGGCCATGACGGGGAATCGAATTCCCTCGCAGATTATAAAAAAAAATTAACCCGTAAAAACAAAGTTTTTCACTATAAATCCTTTATATGCGTGGCATCGGGGCGGCTAGAGTCCTCTCGTCCTCTGGCTTGCGATGGCTGCCACCTATGGGTCAGATGATTGTCTGGCAGCATTAAACAATTGGTAATTAAATATTTAAAACAATTTCCCTAAACAGTGTAAAATTTTGGAATTTTTCACGAAAATGCATTGTCACGCACAACGAGTCTGTGTGCAAAATGTCAGCTCGATTGGAATCCCGGGAAGTAGGGTTAAAAAACGACCGAAATATTTGCACGGTCCTAAGCAAGCAAGCGAACTTAATATAAAGGATTTAATGAATATCGTTTTGAAGAAACTCAACCAAAAAAAGTTGTATGATAGACTTATCCTGCCACAGAAATGTGGAACTCCCACCACTGGTGGTTTTACCATGGACAATCAAATTGAGGGGTGACGTGGCCTAGCAGAAACAACCACAATGATACGACGTTAAAGATCCCCTCACGTAGCACGCAGGAAAAGGCCGGGCCTCAGGCTGAATGTGTTTTCAAAATTAAAAAATCACACCGCAAATTTCTCAATTGGGATAAAACATAGCAATCATTTACCCCGAGCAGCAGACTAATGCCCCAAGTTTACTCTCGAAAACGAGACTCATCCTGGCGCCTCAGGTTCTAATCTGGCGAAACAGAATAAACTGACCTCGCTTAAACATTTCCGATTAAATTCGGTGCACACGTTTTACACCGAATTATCTCGGGGGGGCGGGGGGGGACACGAACGAGGTGTGATGCACACAGGAGCGCACGGAAGTAGCGTCTCCCGCGGAACTCACTTGTGAAGTGTGTCGGGACGCAGGCACTGAAAGATGAGCGTGAAGACGCCGGGGAGGGGGCCTGATTTGACGTTGCGGCCAATCACAACGCAGGGCGACATGGATCCTGAGAGAAGGTCCTCGGTGAAGCTCAGGTAGTTCTCTGCAACGTAAACAAAACAAACCAAAAAAAAAAATCACAAAATAAAATTTAAGTTCGAAAAAAAAACGTGGATATACGTGGATTATGTAATGCTTTGCAACATGTGTTTGTCTTTGGAAGTGTATAATCAATTCGATAACGTTTGTTTACTCGGGAGAGCATCAGCTTATTTTTCATCAGGGTCCTGCTAAGTCTCTCAGTAGAGGATGACAGTTACTACGTGTTTTTTTTTTTTACCCAATTGTGTAATAATTAGCAGAGAAACATTATTCAACTACACAACCAAAATGCAGCACGAACCAGACTGTAGGAACGAATAGCATGAAGTGGTGGTTCTTAACCCGGGGTGCAAGAACCCCCTGGGGGAGCAAGATGCCCTTTCTGGGAGTGCGAGATATGCCCAGACGTTTATAAAAGGTAAATCTTCAAAAGACAAATTAGGCACTTACTTTGTTTCATCAAACCCTATGTATTTATTAACATTGCACATAATTTTTTTACAATTTGAGAACTAAAGGGCTGCAAGGCTGCAGTAAAGGTTAAGAACCACTGGTCCAACGGTATGGGCCGTTCATCAAGGAGCTATCGGTGACAAATTAATTAGCACGCTTGCAAATGGTCCATTTTGCTTTTTGTGCGACGGTTTCATCAATTAGGCCAATTTTGAACAGGGCACTGCCCTAACATCAGCACAGCATTCAACTAAAGTGTGGCTCGTATTCGATCATGTTTACAAATTAAATAGTGCCCCCCCCCCTCGCCCCCTCCCCATTACACAGATGGACAGATAGAGCTAATGCATAAAGGCTTTCAACTTTTAGTTGGAATTGAAAAGTTCAGTTACTGTACTTTGTTATTCATTTCCTAGAATTTTCCTCCGATTAAGCCTGAAAGAACAGATGCTAATCATAGATTAAGGCGGCAGTTTTATCGCCGGAGAATATTTTTTACCGAGTGACTGCGAAGCTACTGAATGTTTTGACGAAATGTAATTAAGTGTAAGGTAACAAAAAAACTAATGCATCGCAAGTTTGCGCTTGGGTGAGATTGTGCCATTTGTCACGGTAATGCCAGGGAGACGTAACGACAATGCCACTGAAGACTGGAGTAGAGAACTTTGCAATATGCCGAGCGTTTAACTTATGTACGTATAAATCTTAATTTTAGAACTTTCGTGACTGCAGGAATTATTATTTGGTTCTTTCGGTTAAGTCACGTCTAAAGATAAAATAATAAATTAAATTAAATAATAGCATACGACGTTTCGATTGCAACACAAGCAATCATCATCAGGTATAATGAAATAGCGACATAAAATCTAACCAGAAAACTATAGACAGACATATTAGCAGACAGATATCACCAAGATACATAGAGGGAGCAACACAGGTAACAGAGAGGGGTGATCATCTCTGTGGGGTGGCCTTAAACAGACAGAGGGGGGAGGAGGCAGAGAGAGGGAGGGGGTTAGAGAAAACATTTGCATATCAATGAGTGGTCAAAAAACAAGGTTCTGCAAGTGCGACGACACGGCAAGCAAGTCTGAAAATCAGGAGAAGGACAAACTAAAATTCAATAACCTAGTAAAATATCGAAATGTAATGTAATACAACACAGAGGGTCGGTCAACACACAATTAACGCATAGCCTGGTTGATTACGTATTTCAAAGATTGCTAAGTTAAATGTCGGTCGCGAACAGCCATGACACATTTGACGTGACGCGAGAAAGTAAAAGGTACGCCTCAAAATAAACTCTGGATCTTATAAACCAAACTATCAACTATTTTTATTTGACCAGGTAAGACCCACTAAGCTATATAGCTCTTTTTCAGAAGTGACCTGGCCACAAATGAATACTCAATGAAGTAGCTTAGCATTTGGAAATGTATAGCGGACAAATTCTCTAAAAGCATGTCTCTAAATCCATAATAGAGGTTTTTGGGGTTAGATCGCGTAAATAAATGTGTCGTTAAAACCCGTCACCACCCGACACAGCCAACTAGTAAGGGTTGTCAAGTAAACAGAACTTGACAATTCGTCACTAGTACAGCACTAATGTGTAGTGTATAGTGTAGTGTATAGTAGTGTAGTGTATAGTGTAGTGTATAGTAGTGTATAGTGTAGTATACTAGTACAGCACACCGGTGTGTTGGAGAGCCAAGCCACAACATTTACAATCTGAGTACGACGTTTCGCCAGTAATTACAACTAGCTTCATGACTGGAGAAACGTCGTGCTCAGATTGTAAATGTTGTGGCTTGGCTCTCCAACACACAACATAATTGCCACGTGTATCCATATATAAAGGCATTGAGTGTTGTCCCCCCTCTCGCGCGTGCTTGTGTGTGTGTGTTTTCTCCGGGCACTCCGGCTTCCTCCCACTTGTGTAAACGCTTATCATCAATTGGCTAAAAATATCTTAAAATAACAAACCCAATGTGGCAGGACCATCCTAAAAGAGAGTTATACGATTATGTGTGGGCTTTCCTGGATACATAAGTAAAATAAATAAAGTATTGGCCGAGAGAGAATCAGAATCAGACTATTAATTTATACTGGAGGAATCCGATGAGCTATTAAGCTCTTTTTCACAAATGTCCAGTCGGGAGCGACCTGGCCACAGATATCAAGTAGGACGTTTGTGGCCAGTAGGACATCTGTGGCCAGTGGAACATCTGTGAAGCGAACCAAACCAAAGAACCACGATTCAGTAGGAAAATTGCCGGGGTGTTCAATTAAGGATGTGGGCCGATTGTAAAGCTCTTTGAGGTTTTCAGCCCAATCATCCTAACATTGACGACCCCCGTTTCAGTTTGGCACCGACATCCAGAGAAGTCTACACCCACAGAGACATCGAAAGTAACGATGTAATCGCACTCTGTGCACCCTTAATGGAACTTGGCCATTAAAGATTAAAATAATAAACAGATGCATAATTGATAAACAAGTTACATTTACAATTCAAGGCAAATACAGTTTAAAAATAAAATCATCCATCAGCGTCGGTTAGTTCTTGAACGCCGAATAAGATAATCCTCATGATAATAATAATCTGCACTTAGAAGGTGCCTATCACAAAACCTTTCAAAATCTACCCACTGCTGGATGATGGCGTTCCCATATCATCGCCGTCCCACACAATCTCGTGAGCTGATCGTCGCTCCATCTCCACAGTGAGCACACAATATGACGAGCTCCCTTCATTGATTGTCATTCCATCACCAGTCCCATCCACCGACCATAATCCCTTGGAGCATTACGTCAAGCCCAAGCCCCACAAACTTGTCTCACTAAAGTCGATGTCTGCAATTCCCACTTGTTCTGCGACCAGCGCATTCTTATTTACGTCTCGGTGAAATGTGCAAGTGATATACTTGCGTGATCAACGGGATAATGGACTGAACAAAGCTGTACAAGTGAGACAAGGAAACAAATAAACAGGAAGCGACACAAATGAGATGGTACATGTGAGACAACAAACAAATCATTATTGTTCTTGGTTCTTTCGGTAAAGTCACGTAGAAGGGAAATAAAAAATAAATATATAAATATATAAAACAATAAAATTATCACGACGTTTCGACTGCAACACAAGCAATCATCATGAGGTGTGAAATACAGAATTTTATTGTTTTATATATTTATTATTTTATTATTTCTCTTCTACGTGACTTCATCGAAAGAACCAAGAATATGAATCCCTGCAGTCACGAAAGCTTTAAATCAAAATGTAAATAATTGTTGAATAAAACTGCAGCGTTCAATCACGATGAGTCATTCAATCGCCGGGGATGTGGATATTTGGCCTCCTCTTCCAATTTAGCCAGAAGTCTCGGAAGAGCTGGAAGTAACCCACACTTTGTTATACCACGTGTGACACGTGCCGTGCCCATTTTCACTGCTGGGTAGATAGGGGCACAGGGATTTGAGAAACGTGTACGTTTGTTTTAGTCCATGAGCCCAGACCAGATGTTTCACTTGTTGGTACCAGCTGGTCAGGCATTGCATTAGTGGCTCCAATTTATTTATGCGGCCAAAAAACAGTGAATTATGTGATAACCACTTCGAGTGAGTGGGGTTCATCACATCATTAGCTCTTATTTACGATATAAATAAATTAGTACTCGGAAATTATTGCTACCTTAACTTAGGTGGTACCATCCAGAAGTGAATAGACACTTCTGGATTGAAAAGTCCAGGTTTGGGCATATGGAATTCGTTACACCCCCCACTTACATCACCGTAAGCCACCCAGCCACTGCGCTTTACATAACGTCAGCTCTGGGGGGGGGGGGCTCTACTGTGATGATATAACAATACAGCAGACGTTGAAGGGGTACATCTGCTCACGTTGCCTACGCATGCGAAAGATTTATTTTTAAAAAAATTCTGCTTTTCAGTGCCTTTATTGTTGCAAGATTGGGACTGGCACGGGCAGACAACATGACATGCAGGTCTTTTATCGCACGTGCTTCCCTTTAACAGCATCTGGCACCACGCCACTCTACCTCACCCCCAGAATAATAGAATAAAAGCACACGCACAAAACTACTGATGACCCAATGATGGTGGAAAACAACTGGCCCTTGCAGACGCAACGAACCAAGTGCGTTCAATAAAGACAGTCAAGACCCAGACGCCTTTGGCAACAGTGTTCAATAGCAGGTGAACGTGAGCCCCCTTTTTTGAGAGCACAATTAACAAAACGTGTGCGCTTGACTTGAGATGACAAAGTGCTCGATTGTTTGTATATACCATGTATACAGGATCCTCGATTATACACGGCGGGTTTTATCTTTGAACTCTGGTTTCCTCCCCATACGTAGCCAAAGTGTGATTAATAGAATTGGCCGAACGAACTCAGTAACGCAAGGACCCACCTGAAAATAAAGGCGTCTTGAGATTGGGCAAGGCTTTTCCTCGGTAAATATTAGCATAGTCATTATCATTATTATCAGTGTAAGAAAACTATACTTATGGGGAGCAAAAACAAAAGCACAAGGTCCCTTCACATTGTATATTTCTTTCCGACATCTTCTAAGCTAGAGTGGGGCCTGTAGCATATGTTATAAAGGTGCCCCAAATTAAAACAATAACACAAATATTAAAAACATAATTTTTTTACTTGCACAGTAAAGTTAATTGCATTTTTTTCACTTTCTATACAGCAAGATAAAACGACAAATCGCTAACCTTAAACAACCAGTCGTTCATAAAAGTTGAAGGCGGTATAGTACTATAGTAATAGAGCAAGTGCAGAATCACTGAACCGGAATTGATAGCTTGAAAGCATTTAGCACGGGGCCCTTGAAATTGCGGGGCCCGTAGCTACTACATATGTAGCTACTACACGTGTAGTAGCTACTACACGTGTAGTAGCTACTACTACTGCACGTGCAGCTACTACACGTGTAGCTACTATATATGTAGCTACTTGTGCTACTAGGATCATCCGGCACTGCTTTCAACGCCATGCCCCAAATTCCGGCTCGTACATAATGCAATTTTAAATGTTAAATGCCGCCGCATGATGCACTCGGGGTTTTATTCTCGTAAATAAAAGCCGTAATTGTTTCAATGGACGAACACGACTGAATTATTTCTTGTAATTAATCTTTTACAAATAAATATATAAAACATTCATTATCTCCTCTGCACTTCCCTTAAAGGATATTCCGAAGACGCCACCCCCCTCTCATCCTCCAATGCCCTTTGTTCATTGATAGACGGCAAGAATACAGCTGCAAGAGTAATCATGATCATGTACACTTTATGGACCAATCAATCACACTTTCAAAAGATAAACGATAATAGTTTGGTACGGCACGTCTGATTGGTTTGGAAAAGCCCCTTGGTTTTTCATTTTGATTAATAACACTCACTTAATACCACTTAAGCGTACGCGATATATTTAGTAACATGTGTCGTCTGCGTGTGTATCCTTCATTTTGCCGCGTGACCCACAGTTTATTTGAAAGTGACAGGGACTTTCTCTCCGCTTCTTCTCTACTGAAAGGCAACAGTGACAGATTCCAAGTGTTTTTTTTAGACTTTGTAAAATTAGCTCGCCGTCAATAAACGTTTCCACGAAACGACTGATTCATTCAGCTACTGGAGTGAATACAGCGCAGCCACATGTCAAAGCCAAACCCCGGCAGCAGGCGACAGGGGGTGAAGCCACCCGTCAAAGTTATTGTGAAATAACTTTGCCGACCCACACACGACGCGGGGAGGCCATCATCCAGCAGTGGAGTGACACAGGAGATGTCCACACGCATGTTATGAAACACATCACCCCCCCCCCCCCAACTGTGCTGTGTTAGCCACAAGATGTGCTCAATTGGTGCTCCAGCTCTCCCTGCTGTCTACGACCGATATTACAAGTGGCGCCCACCGATGACAAAGCAAATGACTGCGCACGACTTTTGGCATCAAGGCCATGCCAGGAGTCGGCGAGGCCCCTGGGAACGCAAAAAAATGAGTACCCAGTGCACGTGCGTATAGTGCCTTCCACGGGTGAGTTTATTAGGCACACAGACTACGCATAGGGGAGCTTGATTCAATAGCCCCTTGCAACAGGCCACAATTCCATGATATATCGCCCCTGCCCCACCTCGATCCCTTTCCAGCAAACTTTGAATGCATTTGAATTCACCCACCTTTTTCAATTTGAAAACTACTGGCCAATCAGCGGGCGGCTCGCCATTTAGGCGACTCTTCGCGACTGGTTCCTCCGCTGAGAACCTCGCTTACCGCTGAGCCACTGGGAGGGCCCACCGTGCTGCATTCGAACAGCAACCGTTCGAATTCAGCGCATTCGTGGACGAGTCGTAGCTCATCAATGCACATCGGTCTGTCATGCCAGGCCAAAAAATAGCGACTCTGCAAGGATGGACAAAGTCTCATGCTCAGTAAGGTGAAGAGGCTGGCCGGACATGTGTGTGCTCATGACCAATTCCTGTCGTAAAAACGTCGGCACCACGTAGCAACGATGCCGAGTGGACGTATCCAAGCCAACGAGGTGGTCTTTGCACAGCCCGCATCCCACACGCTTGAAGCTGAGCAGACGCGCGCATGGCACTCGAGCTGGTGAATTCACATCGCGATCGCAAGTAGAAGGCCTCATTCTGAAGCTGCCACCAGTCAACCGAGGGGTTAATCCCAAATCGTGGTAGGCCAACCTGGCCTGGCACGCAACACGTGTCCGGGGAGTGGAGCCGTGAGAAGGGGAACAACCACCGCAACCTCGCAAGAGACAGCGGTTGTGCAGCGTGTCATGTCCGTGATGTACGCACATCGAATAAGTGGTGACATATGGGACAGCACAATAGCCATGCATAGGTTATATCTCGCGCACCCCTCCGCTACCTTACAGCAACTTTCAATGTTTGTTGAACAAATTGGAATCCATCCTTACTCTTTGGTTCTTTCGGTAAAGTCACGTAGATATAAAACTAAATAAATTAAATCACGACGTTTCGGGCGCAACACAAGCGTCCGTGATCAGGTGAGACAACCACAGCACAAAACAACTGCTGAGGCGGGCAAAAGGGCTGCCTGTAACAACCTGATGACGGACGCTTGTGTTGCGCCCGAAACGTCGTGATTTCATTTATTTTGTTTTATACCTACGTGACTTTACCGAAAGAACCAAAGAGTATGGATCCCTGCAGTCACGAAAACTTCAAATCTAGATGGAATCCATCCTCTTGTTTCCTTCCTACTGGCCAATCAGCGGACAGCTTGCCGGTCAGACCAGTCGTCCAGATTGGCTGCACGGCTCAGCTTGAACATGGCTTAACCTAAACGGAAAACACAAATGTGAGGGTCATGCACTTGAAGGTTGATTTTGGCCTATTCTTCCATGTCGGCGAATTGTCTCGACAGCGGCAGGAGCACCCAGGTTTTTACTCGACCACAGAGCGACCTGCCGATCAACTGCAGTGCAACCGCTGTCACTGCTGGGTGGACAGAGGCCGCGAGAACTTAAGGCGTTCTCCCCATCGCTTCAACTGCCACCGCCACGAGGTTAAAATCGAACCGGCGGTCGGCCTCTGGATCGCGAGACTGCTAGCACCCGGCGGTGAATGTGCGCAATTCGATGTTTCTCATCTCTGCGTTGAGCTCGGGTGTCAAGACGTTGCGGGTGGATGGAGAGGGGGGGGGCAGTCAAAATGAGGGCTTGGACCACAGGAGCACAGCATGGATTTAATTTGAATATGTCCATCCACAGCAACCTTCCCTCTGAACATAATATAATAGTATGGCAATGTTAAAACAAAACCCAAAGCTCCCGGACAAAGGCGCGCCTTTGTTTGGTAACATATTGCTCTTTCTGCTTTCACTTAAATATGCCATATCACTAAATAACACCTGCGATCAATGATGGTATTTGTATCCTAGTAATAACAAATCAAAAACAATGCTCTGGTTTCTCACTTAGATTTTTTTTTATATCCGTGTAAAAAAAAACCAAATACGTAAAATATACACCTTGGCTCAATTAATTCCATAAACAAATGTTTTATAAATTATTTTATTTCACTGAGCAAGGAAAAAAGAAGTCACACTTTGACAGGATAACTTCACAGCTTTTTCTTAATTCCACCCCGCCCCCCCCGCCCACAATTGAGACTGTCCCAATATGTGTTCGCAATAAAGTAGACGTTAGGGTGGGGGAGCGGGTGGGAGAGGTGGTTGATATGTGCCCCATGAATACACAATAAATATCCCTGTTAAGATGAAACCCATATGGGCATGGCCGGTGCTGGTTACGTCAATCTAAAAGCATGGGTGGTCCAGGTGAGTGTGAGACCCTGCCCGGAGCAGACATGCTGGCCACGTTCGGTTGATTGAAACAGTCGGGTGGAGCCCTGAGTTTTGAACACCAAAGTCAAAAGTGATTTCCAGCTCAGATGAGCATTTGAGGCGATTGCTCTTCTGTTTACGATCCCGAGCCTGGTGGTGGAAATCTCCAAATTCATACGGCGAGGACGAGTATCAGCGTTGGTCACAACCACCGCTGACTGCTCCACAAAGTGGTACACGTTGTTTAGCCCCCGGAGGTATGATGGGTCCCGCGTCAACTCTCGAACCAGGATTTAAGCTTGCAACCTTCCGATCTGCGAGCCGCTCGCTCTGTTGTTGAGCCACCTGGGTCGATTTTCTTGAACACCAGGCCTAAGATACCTAGACTCATTTATGGACACAAGAAGTAGCTTTCCCACTGCCAATCTGTATGGCATCTGTCAGCTTGATTTCTATCAAACATAACATTAATTCAGAGAACAACAAACATATGAACAGGTGAATTACATCGTGACCACTGTTAACATCGGCTCAGCTCAGTGAAAGAAAAGGAAGTGCGCTTGGGGCAGGACACGACACAACAAGAGGGATGACAGCCGACAACGGAGAATAATAACAGAGTAAAAAGAGCGGCAGCCAAGGAATGGAACTGGTCTGGGAGGACGTCTAACCGAGGAGATAGAACAATGAAGTGTACAAAAGATAGCAACTGTTGCGAATATATCTTTCCCACTTCTGAGCGGAATTAACACTCACTTTAGCAGGCGTTAATCATTTGGCAGGGTTTATACATGGTATCAGCAGTGGTCAGTACAGGACACTGTTAGCTTCCCAATGTGATCCCCCTAAGGGGCTGAGTGAGTGAGTGTGCAGTTTGGAGAAACAAGCAGATTGCATCCCACCTAAAGAATATATGATGATATCATTATCATCAGAGTTGTTTCTTTTTGTTTGCATTTTGACTGCTTGTGTTGTGGTTATTGCAAACATGATGCCTTGTATAAAGGTGTCAGTTTTTGTACCAGTTGAAAGGGTAAAAACCTATTACTATATTTTGCCACTGGTAAAGGAGGTCTCATAGTGTAATTGCTTACCCCGAGCTCTCAATACTCTGATTGTGCGCTGTCTTTGAGTTGTACGCCTTTTGGCGTTATCTGGTTCAACACCAATGGAGACTAGGCTCTAAGAAAAGCTGTCTCGGGTGTGGACCAATCAACTTCAAGGACAGTGCATATCATTATCATCATCAGAGTTATTTATTTTTATTTGCATTTTGACTGCTTGTGTTGTGGTTATTGCAAACAATATGCCTTGTAAAAAGGTGTCAGTTTTTGTACCAGTTGAAAGGGTAAAAACCTACTACTATATGTGGACGGTCACCGACACATGCACAGGAGTGGTCTACATGAGTCTGACGACCAAAAGGAAAGGAGATTTAAGGGCAGATGATGGTTAGGAGACTTTTATTTTGGCAGTTCTTGGAGGTCGCTGCACGTCGTGGTAGCATCGATGGCTCTGACCTTTGATCTAGAAGGAATATGTTTTGGATGTAAATATTTGCAATGAAATTATGTTTTTAAGGCAAATTTGGATCTTTTGTTGTTGAGATTTGCCGATTTATTAGATCATTTTGTGACAATTTAGCGTGTGTTTGTGCCAACAAGGGCGAGGTCATCCGATGTCACGTGACCGCCACCTTTGCTGAAATAAACACTGAATGTGACATCATTTGCTGTGAAGTGACCTTTTTTAGATAAATCTAAAGTAAATGTAAAAATTTGGATTTTAAAAAATTGAGTTCTCAAGCCCGATTGTTATATTTGTGGTATATATATCTTTTTTTTTATTAATCTCATATACAATGACATAGATTCTACATTTGAAGTTTTCGTAACTGCAAGGATCCATACTCTTCGTTTTTTTTTTCGGTAAAGTCACGTAGGTGAAAACAAAAAATAACAAAAACATTTTTTCTTGTTATTTTTCACCTACGTGACTTTACCAAAATGACATGGATGCAAGTGCATAAACTACACGGAGCAGTTGAAACTACGGGGCTAGTTTCTTAAAACCTCCCTACCTCTGCCCACCCAGGAGTACAAATGGGCACACCACAGTCAGTCCATCGGCAGGTGACGTGTGGTGGAGTTTGTTGTGAGTACTCCCACTTTTTCAAAATTCTTGCCAGCGTGGATGAGTAGGCCAAATATCCTCCAGACAGACTCTCTAGCAAATCTCTTTAGAGGAGGCCCTGCAGTGGCATGAGCAAGCAATTGCAGGACTGCACTTCTATTTAGCGCTCGTATTTTATAGTTGGGAAACGTTCTCCATTAATCCATATAAAACCTCCACTAAAAAAAGAATTGCCTTCAAAGTAGTATTTCCATGCATGTATTTTCAATTTCTATAAAGTTCAAAAATGTAATTTCAATAAGCATTAATGCATTAAAATACATCCTCTAACATAATTGGCAATAACTCTACTCTGTTATGCATGGCATTTCGTCAAGGTGCTCATTGTGGCTTGGCTACTTTGATGATTGAAATGTCTGCTCTGTCCGTATTCTACATAAAAAAAACACTTTGCTCTCTCTGGCAGGCATCTCACAAATCCACCCATGGCGACTTTAACATCTGAATACTTCAGCTGGTAGCCCAGAAATAGAACTAAATGTTTTCATGCAAACCGTTCAATCGGTTCGCTGACCCACTTGGCAGTCAAAACAGTTGACGTTGAACACTGCAGCTTGAACTCATTTTATTACTTCAGTTAAAATCAAGTAAAATAACAATTCAACGGAGTTTATGTGGGTAAGAGAGCAAGGGTAAAATGCACACGTCCGCTCCATAGGACTCAAACAAATGTGTTACGCTGCCACCCCATTCAAGAGAATCTAAACAACCAATTTGTGAAAATTCTGCTCCACTCTTTGTGCGAGCGAGCTGCCACATCATATAGTTTTAAGCTCAAGTTTTAAATCTATTTTGTCTCACCAGGTGAGAGAGAAAAGAGACCATGATGAGTCACTTGCAAGAGTGACCTGGGGCATTAGCCTGCTAGAAGGGGGGACAATGAATGCACAGCATATTCCCAATTGAGCGCGATTATACAATTTGGCAAATTTCGACCCTGGAATGTAAAATCATATGCGACACAATTTCGATTGGTGAGATAAGCGAATGGGTAGGACACATTGCGAGAAGGGATGAAGGCCGACGGGATGAGAGACTGGTGACGGAATGGTAGAATGCGCCAGAGCAGACGAGAACCAGAGATCAGTGCAAGTGCGGGAGTGAGAAAAATCGTGGCATCTCAAGAGCACAAGGGATGGCAACATCCAACAGTGTACAGACAATGGCGGATGATGTCTTATGCGTAGGGTTTTACAGCCAATGTTATTATTCACAATTAGTTACTTTTGGCTGAGGTCGTGTGGGTATAATGGAAGTTTTCAGACAAACACCTCTGCCAGTCCGACAGAGCCAATCATAATAAATTGTCACCTCGGTAAATATGCCAATCGATTTGGGTTTTCAGCAAATAGGAATGTTGATAATTTTAAAAGACGTTTCAATGGAGAAAACAGCCGGCATGATCAGGTCTTAACAGAAGCTCAGCCTATATGAGAGCTGAGCTTCTGTTAACACCGAAGGTTGAAATAATAAATTAATAGATGTGTCCTATCTTGATTTGAAGCTTTCGTGACTGCAGGAATCCATAGTCTTTGGTTCTTTCGAACTCTCAGATACAGCAGGATAACTTTCCTGCTGTATCTGCAGCAGGATAACTTCCCTGCTGTATCTGTTCCACCTGATGGCGGTCGCTTGTGTTGCGATCGAAACATCGTGATTTATTTTATACCTACTTAACTATACCGAAAGAACCAAAGAGTATAGATGTGTCCTGTCGTTTTTTTTATGAAGCATATCTCCGAATACATTTAAACAAAAAAAATGTTCCTTTTTTGGTCAGAGTGCCGAGCTGGCATTGCCGAGGCCATGAGTTCACATCAGGTCAGCTGCCTGCGAATGAAGTGGGTTCTCAAGTGATGGTCTCAGGCTGGTCCCCGATGAGGACACAACTAAACCATCTATTATGAAAGCCCGGCGTTCCGTTTGTCCGTCAACAAAATCACAAGAGCCTTGCAGAGGGCCTGAATCAAAAAGTTATAGAAAGTGGACCCCCCCCCCCACCCAGATGTGGGGGTAAAAAGTTTATCCAACAGGGCTTTTCACTCCGCACTCCCCCTAAAATAAATATTTTGTATGCATATTGTCCTACACACCCTACATACAATACAGTCAGTAGTATCTGCACACATCGGGGCGGGGGGGGGGAAGAGGACATCAGTGGGGGCGACGGTTGAGAAGTGCTGAGAAGCCCTCTGCAGGAGCTAGAATAAGGTGGCCTTAGGCCGCCAGAATTCTAGTTACATTAAATTTGGGTCCAACTCTGACCATTTCAAATACTACTTTGTCCGTGACGAGATGAACGCCATTACCGTCAGGTGGCGAAGCGGGTGGGGTAACGTGCTGCGCCCTCGACTGTGTCAAGTGGAGGTCACTTGTATTGACCTCAGAGGTAGTTATGTGATACCTGCTTCCATGAACTATTCTCTAATGTGAAGGGAAGCACTGGTCTGAAGGAGAGATCAGGATAGGAGACTTCATCCCAAGACACGGTGCCGTAAGCAGCACAATCAAGGATACATTTTAGAAAATAATGACACAAAATATACGTAGAAAAATAAGGGTTTCCCTTCCTGTTACCATTAGCTAAACATCAGGGAAATATCTTCTTGGTTCTTTCGGTAAAGTCACGTAGAATGGAAACAATAAAATAATAAAATAAAACATAATTAAATAATTAATATTATGTTTTATAATGGCAACAATAAAAATAATAAAATAAAACATAATAAAATAATAATGTTTTATTTTATTACTTTTATTGTTTCCATTCTACGTGACTTTACCAAAAGAACCAAGAAGATGAATCCCTGCAGTCACGAAAGCTTTAAATCGGAATCAGGGAAATATATAATATGTACTTAGACACAGAATCCAGGTGCCACGACTAAAGAAGAATAGTTCGCTGGTTTCAGGATCCCAGCCTTGATATTTGTGCAGAGATGAGATCCAGAAACATAGCCAGGGCCCTGATTAAAACGGGGACTTAGAGAATGAGATGTCATCCAAAGTAGCTGTACAATGATAAACACAGAGCTGAAAGAAAAAAAATTATACAAATATATTTTGAACATTCGCCTCTTTACAGAAATCCATCACGGGCAAAACGATTTACAATTTCATTTGGCTTCTGTTATGGATTTGGTATTGGGTTGACGTAAGATGCGGATGAGAGGCATTCCATTTAATTTCGTCGATCAATATTAATTTTGAAATTGGATCACCATATCTGGCGCGAGGCCGAAGCCAAATGTGCAACACCAAGTGCGTGCCAAGATTAAGGGCAGAGGCGGCTGAGTAACGTTGGCAAAGTCACATACGTTGTCGTGACAGAGCATGGCGCAGAGTGTGGCGGACCCTTTGTAACGCGAAAGGCTCCGTGCGACTGACATTTCTACGATGGGCAACAGTGCACAACAGAAGCGTTTCGTTTGCACCGGTCGAATAACTGCGATGCGTCTGCACATGTGCACAGTTTGTCTATTGGCCGGTCGCGTGTGGTGTGGTGTCGTAAAGTACTCGCTAACAGCACTTGCGCCAAAAACCTGTTCAGGCTATAAGGGGAACCTTTGTCTTTGCACTCCCACCACTTTCAACATGATTGGTCGGCGTGAAAGAGTCGACCAAATGTCATCTCGAGCTCCCTCTACGGGAGGCCCTTTCGCCAGCAGTGGGGCAAGACAGCAATTGGCTGAGCTGAACCGTGACCTCCTCTGTGCACGTGCACACTTAACATACGCATCTTCCGATTCCGTTCCGATGATGTACACGTACGTCATCGGTGATGAGGAAACTTGAAGAAAAGCTAAAATAACTTTGTCGGTACCGAGGCTCCCACAAGGCCATGCGGGAGGGCAGTGTGGCACAGTTTTCCGCCAGCTATCGTAGAGTGGCGGTCGTGTCGCTACAGTTCTCTGCGGTGAGTACAATGGCTTTTAAAACAACGGCGCTACGCCTCTCTAAATAAAATAAATGCTGAGCCGCTTGCACGTCCCGAGATTCAGAGGTGAACGGGACAAACACTCTGCAACTTGCAGACGTCTCAGAACGGGAAAGGGTTCACGTGCAGAGAATAAAACGGATTTTTCTGAAGTAGTGGCGGTGCTGGACAAGGATGGAAAAACTGAACTTGACAGATGGCCGTCAAGGTTCCACAGTGAATAGATGAACAAGTGGCAGACAACGAAGATTATTGTTAATCACGAGTGGAATTTGGTAGCGCGCCCATCACCATGAGATAGAGCACCCTGATAAGAATTTCCAACCTTTTGCATTGCTATGCATTTGTACCATAGCAGTGTCTGTAGACAAAAATCATGGGAGTGGGTAAAAATATTCAGCAGGGTAACCGATATGCCAGATGAATGGGTTCCTGTTAGTTCGCCTAGGAACTGATATTTGTGAATATTGGTTCCGATGGGAAAACTAATGTTTGTTTGTTACTGGGGGGAAATAAACATTACGTGACCACTCACCCCCCCAGAGTAACAGCTCTGACCAATGATTCCAGCACGGCTCCTTTACAGGGTAAGAATCATTCATTTTATGGACGAAATTATATACTGTATATAGCAAGATCACTGTGCACACCAACTTAAGAGGATCTGTCAAATGACTCTACAATCTGATTGGCCCTCAAACCACAAACCTACAACATTCCCGGTAGGAAATGCATGGATGGAGAACAAACTTTACACGACACCGACACTCACCACAGTACATCTCCATCAGCCGAATTCACAGCTTTGTCCACTGACTCGCACCATGACTCTTAACAGGGTGCGATATGTAAATAAATACAAGGTGGCACGTACACCTATCTCAGAACATTGAATTGTCCTCGAGCTACGAACCTCTCCAACAAGTGGCAAAATTCACTATCCCTTGGGAATCGATATTCACAATTGTTGATTTATAGAGGGGGGGGGGAGGCGGTGGGGAGGGAATGGGTGAATATTCATTCTGGTCGCTCGTTTCTGGGAGGACAAATAAATCACGACCACGGCATGGCACCACGGCAGGCGGCAGGCCCTCACCCCGGTGAATCTCAGGCCACCGTAATTCACAGCTCTGACCATCGTCTCGCAACGAGAGAATGCATTACTCGGGGCGCGATATATATATAAATACGTATAAAACGCGTATAAATACAAGGTGGCCGCGTACAACTAACTCGGAACTTTGAGTTATCCTCGAACCACAAACCTCTGCAACAAGTGGCAAAATTCACTATCCCTTAGGAATCAATATTGATTGATTCATTGTGAGGAGGAGGAGGTAGGGGGGATGAGAAGGGATGGATTTTAATTTAAGCTGCCCGTTCCTGGGAGCACAATAAAACCGTGACCATGGCGTGGCAAGCGGCGGCGGGCCCTCACCCCAAGTGCATCTCGGCGCCGCGGACGCCCGGCTCGGCCACCGTCTCGTACTGCAGCTCGAAGTCGACGATGCGGGCGCCGACCGGCGGCTCCAGGTCCTCCCACTCGAGTGCCACCAGCGTGCTGGTGGGCTCCAGCGCCGGTGAGAGCCGCAGCCTGAGCCGTCAGCCGCCGGCGAGGCAACCACCCCCCGTCGCCCGTAGGTCAGCCAGTGAAGTGTTACGTTGATTCTGGTTTTACCAAATTATATGATCCTGATTTTCTTTGTTCTTTCGGTAAAGTCACGTAGAAGGGAAATAATAAAAATAAAACATTGTGGCCGAAACGTCGTGAGAATTATTTTTTGCTGTCTTTCCGACAGACCTGTTCTTCACCTGAGGATGGCTGCTTGCGTTGTGGCCGAAACGTCGTGAGAATTATTGTATGATGTTTTATTTGTATTATTTTATTATTTCCCTTCTACAGTGACTTTACCGAAAGAACCAAGAAGATGAATCCCTGCCGTCACGAAAGCTTTAAATCGAAATATATATGATCCTGTACTGATTTGGAGACAGGGATGATTTCAGTATAGTCTCAGCTTAATCCTAGTTTACTACCTCAGTAGTATCATCTCAGCTCCGAGTCGGTACTTAGCGTGGAGCCGGGATGATGCCACTGAGGTAACAAGCGAATTTTTTTTCGTCTTCTTCTAAATTTTAGTGAAATAACTCATCGGGCGAAACGACCCTGAGTCCAAACTACCGATCGAAGGCTGATGTGCAACGATACGGCGACAGCGGCTAACGAGTCTGAAGTGAAGACTCGGTCAAAGAACAACTCTGCACGACTCGCAGTCGCTTTTAAAATTGGAGCCATGCGGTTGGGCGATTCACATTTTTTTTCTTTCATGTTATGCGATAATGTGTGGTGTACAGGCTTACTGGAAGATTATGGGTAGAGGATGGTGTGATAAACAATTGGATTCTAGATTTGAAGCTTTCGTGACTGCAAGGATTCATACTCTTAGTTCTTTCGGTAAAGTCACGTAGGTAAAAAATGAAATTAAAATTATTTTTAAAAAAGTGATTTTTTTTAAAATTAATTTTAATTACATTTTTTACCTACGTGACTTTACCGAAAGAACTAAGAGTATGAAACAATTGGATGCTTCGTTTATACAAATTTGGGTGCGGTACGATTGTATATGATGTACAGTTGTACTGTGAGGCTTATGATGCTTGTGTTGAACTTCTTTTGCACCGTACGTAGCCGACCGTGAGAAGAGGATGCATGGTAAACGGTTCTGAGTGATGAATATTTGAGTTTGATTTGGTGATGCTGCTGCTGCATTGGTGGCGGTGCACAAGCACGATTCACAAACAACTCAACGCACTCATCATTCACACCCCCAATGCCCCTTCTTCATAGCTGTCGCAGCATTGATGTGCTACGAAGAAGGGATATTTCCCAAAACTTTACAAGTTATATATTGTTGTTTCCTTTTAAGACAGGTCCTTAGAAGTAGTTATTTGGTGAAAATTGAAAACTCATTTATTTAGTTTTTGTTTTTAGTTTGTCGTAGTTTCCCCTCACCTTTGATTAGCATTGTTGGCTACGCACAGTGCGAAAGAAGTTCAACTTACATACAAATATGACTTATTATTGTTGTTGTTGTTTTTAATACAATGAGGTGTGGTGGATCTTGCTGTCTGAGCGTCGTGTGCAGGGGGGGGGGGCTGCCGGGGGGTGCGTGGGAGGGAGGGAGAGGGGAGGGAGGGAGGGGGAGAAAAGGCGGGCGGGAGGGAGGGGGGGGAGGGGAGGGAGGTGGAGGGAAGGCAGGTGGGAGGGAGGGAGGGGGGAGGGAGGGAGGGGGTAGGGAGGGGGGGAGGGGAGGGAGGTGGAGGGAAGGCAGGTGGGAGGGAGGGAGGAGGGAGGGAGGGAGGGGGTAGGGAGGGGGGGAGGGAGGGAGGAGAGAGGGGGGGAGGCAGTGGGGAGGGAGGTGGAGGGTAGGCAGGTGGGAGGGAGGGAGGGGGGAGGGAGGGAGGGGGTAGGGAGGGGGGGAGGGAGGGAGGAGAGAGCGGGGGAGGGAGGGGGGAGGGAGGGGGGATGGATGGGGGATGGATGGGGGAGGAAGGGAGGGGGAGGAAAGGCAGGCGGAAGGGAGGGGGGCACATACGTGGGCCGTGGCAGGGGGGCGCAGTCGGGGAGGCCCTGGTGGTCGAAGGCATCGGGGTCACAGCGGCACCAGTTCCCCACGACCTCGCCGCGCCCCGAGCACCAGGCGGCACTCTGCATGGCCGTGCGGCACGCCTGCACGCGAACGGCAACAACAGCAGCAAGCGCCGTCGTTATCCGCCACCCCACGACGCGCCACCCCACGCCACCCGCCCGTTTAAGTCTCTCCGTCCGTGTCCCCACGCGGGTTCAATCGGAGGGCCGAGCCTTGCGGGGAGGGTCGTCTGCCCCCAGGGGTTAAGAGTCCGTCACCGCTCTGCCGGCGGGAACGCGCTGCCCAGGGGCAGATTGCATGCCCTTTTCGCACGTAATGAGAGGCCGGACAAATGTGGGCGCAGCCATATTTCAATTAAATCGGAATTGATTTTAAAAAATGCAAGATTTTTTTTTATTAAATTAGCCACTTGTGTATTTTTCGTATATTCACTTTCAAACATATGACTGCAATTTAGCATTTTTATTTTCAAGCACATTTTTAGCTGGGGCAGAGCCCCAATGCCCCACACGCACGCCGGCCACTTCGTGGATGCTGCTCTTTTCAATTGGCGGCGCTGAGCTGGTGTGGAAATTCCACGTCATCGTCGTGTCGGCCAGTCTCTCCATAGAACGACCGGTGCAAGAGACATTAACCTCAGGAATAGCACGACCAGTGTGGGTTGGTAGAGAGGAAGGACCAAGACCCAGCCCACAGATATCACTGGCAACTGATGTTAGCCACAGCGGAGAAATAAACACGGGTCAGTGGCTTCAGAGTGCGGTGACACTAACCCACTGGACCTCTCTGCCTCATCATTTGTTGTGTGTTCAGTTGGTTGTCCTTCCCCCCCCCGCACCTCCGGTTAGCACGGCTGGCTAAGTACGGTGCGAGAGATTGTTCAACATACGTACGTCCATCACGTCCCATTCAGAGAGCGGCTGCCCACAAGGAAAAACAAACATTCACGCTCCGTCGGTTGAAACCCGAAACGGCAAAAAGCGCACGCGCAGAACGAGCGCGCAATTCAATTACCTCCTAGGGAGAATCTCGACGAAGAGGGATGCTGCTTTTGCTCGCAGGGAGGCCTCTTCGGAGCGGCCTCTAATGTGCGGCGCGGATCAATGCCGATGGATTTTGCGGGCGCGCGAGGCTCCGACTCGGCCACCGCGTCGGTTCACCCCCCCACCCCGCTTCGCGTCGAGGGGTGCGGGATCATCCGAGGCCGCCGCCGCGGGCGGGCGGGCGGGCGGGCGAGCGCGCGGGGGGTGACCCCTCTCTCCTGGAGGAGAGGACAGGGCGCTAACTCGATAACGTCGTCCCCCCTGCCACCCGTAATGCGGCAGCCTCGGCCTGTGCCGGCCGCACCTGGAGTAGGGGCCGGCGGTACAGGGGTCGCTGTGGAAGGGCGCCTCACTGGCTAGGAGATGGTAACTACCTAGCCTGGTATACAGGAGGGCGTGGGTTGGATCCCGACCCTGACGCCTGCTGTATATTTGGAGTTTGCGTGTCTCTCTCTCTCTAATCATCATCATCACGGTGGCTGGAGATGTTAACTATCTCGCCTGGTATACAGGAGGGCGTGGGTTGGATCCCGACCCTGACGCCTGCTGTATATTTGGAGTTTGCGGTGTCTCTCTCTCTCTCTCATCATCATCATCACGGTGGCTGGAGATGTTAACTACCTCGCCTGGTATACAGGAGGTCGTGGGTTGGATCCCGACCGTGACGCCTGCTGCATATTTCTCTCATCATCATTATGGTGTCTCGGAGATGTTAACTCGTTCGCCTGGTATGCAGGAGGTCGTGGGTTCAATCCAGACCATGACAATGCCTGTATATTTTGAGTTTGCGGTGTCTCTCTCCCTGTGGTCGCGTGGATTTTTCTCCAGGTGCTCCGGTATTTCCCTCCACATTTAGAATCAACGTGCGTTTTGTGTATTTGGCTGCATTACATTTCCAGGCGACGATGTGCCACTTCGTTGTGAGCTGTCATTAGTGGCCAGTTCGCGTCTGAAAGAGAGCTACGTAGCTCAGCGGCGAACGTTGACTCAGAGGGCAGTACCGGCGGAGGGGCACGGCACGCTCTCACACCCCTCTCAACCGGTTCTCTTTGCTGAGCTACGGACTACATCGCTCAGGGGTTAAGCAGCCGATTATTTTTGTCAATGACCGCCGGGGAGTTCTTTGCGGCCGTACTGCTGCGTGTTTCTCCGAGGTGGCGTTGCGGCGCTTTCGGTGCTTCTGCAGGAACTTGAAGAAAGAAAGCCAGCGGTATCTCCTGACACTTGAATTGGAAAGCTTTGAAGAGGGTTCTTGCAAAATGTTCGGATGAAGAGGCTGATAATATAATGAAGGATGTGCTAAGAAATAATGGCTTTTGAGTATGTGTGTGTATATATATGTCTATATACATATTGTGCAGTGGATAGCGCAGTCTGATACTAACCTGGTGACCTGGGTTCAATCCCTGCCAGAGGTCGCAAATGGGTTTTTATTCCTTACCCGTACCCGTACACGGCCGCACCAGGGTCGCAGACGGGTACCCGTACCCGGCCGGGTATCGGGTAGAGTACGGGTATCGGGTACCCGGTTGCGACCTCTGATCCCTGCTTATGACCAAAAACAGTGGCGAATATTTTAACCGGTCCTGTGCTTAGTGTGGTGTGTAAAGATTAGCACTGGCTGGGCGTGGTGCTGGCCACCATAAATAAGTCAACACATAAAAAATTAGGAAAGTGTTTATGAACTCTTTAAACTTAGTAAACTCTTGAAAATGTGTATGTAAATCTTCCAATTGTTCCAAAAGTGTTTCATAAAAAAAAAATAGCTAATGGACATTTAAATTGCACTCCTAATTTACTTTCGTACGGACGCCTATTTTTACCCAACAATGATCTACTATGATGGTTGTCGGCTTAATTGCGGCAGCTCGTGCAGCAGCACATGCGGGCATTGCTTTTCGCACAAGATGATGAACAGCGACGGCTCGGGAAAAATATCAGCTGAGAATCGCTGCACTGGCCACCAGCTGCTCGCAGCAATCTCTGATATATCTTTTTGCTCTCCTCCTGCTCTCAATGCCCTGGCTCTGGGCCACGTTATTAACGAGTGAGAGCACACGGTTGCGTTGAAGCTCTCCACAAGCTCACCACTCACGGTGGCTAGATGTGAACTACCTCGCCTGGTGGACAGGCGGTCGTGGGTTCGATCCCAATCCTGTTGCCTGTATATTTGAAGATTGCGTGTCTCTCTCCCCGTGGTCGGGTGGATTTTTCTCTGTGCCCTCCGGTTTTTCCCTCAACATTTAGCATCAACATCGCGTTCATAGTATCTGGCTGATATAAATGTCCACACGATGATAAGCCACTTTGTTGACATATCATTCGTGGCCAGGTCGCTTGTGAAAAAAAGTGATATAGCTTAGTGGGCCTTACCTGGTAAAATAAAATGTAAAAAATAGTTTACATTTAATAGTTTATGGTTTATTCGAACAGCGGCGGCGCTAGGTATACGTAACACAAGCAGAAGTTTAGGGCCCCAAGCAGCTCATGGGGGGGGGGGGTCCCAGTCTCAGATTCAAATCCTAATAAACATCACGGACACTTTCGTTTTTTGAGAATTGCTGTTCAAATTACCGCTGGGCTCAGACAATCATAGCGCGTTAATGAACGCCTGTACACGTGACGGTTTAATCTGAGGCTATATATCGAGTGGTGGAGAATTACACACCAAAAATTTGGCCAGATCATTATCTGGCCAAACCAGAAAATCAATTGCAAATCACAACAAGCAAATTAACATGAAAAAACGCCAATTATTCTGCCTCTATCTGGGCCGCTTCTCTCTTTTAAATTTTTGCTAAAAGTCTCTTATCTCATTCCATCTAGGTCTCTTGCCAATGTGGCTCTCGTCGTCTCGATATGGGGAGCGCCAAATAATTTCTAATAGTTATCACTGAGGGCCCCCCACAATTGGTGAGCCACTCACCGCTGGGATGCTCACACGATAGCTTGGCTGGTCAGCAAGCCCTCTCTCTGTGTAGTTTAACATGTCGGCTTTCGCGACTAATAGTATCCATAAAATCGTTTTTTGGGTTAGATCTCGTAAAAATGTACCTGCTCTCTCCATTTAAACCCCCTCTTAGGCAGTTCCCACGTGAGGCCAAACCGCCCTCGAATACATTTGGCCAAATAAATGTCCCTCTTTTTACATTAGTATTGTTGTTGTATTGCAATATGAGCCCAGTGCAGAGCACAAACCGTGCCGTGAGGCGTTGGGGGGGGCGAGGGTACAGAAAATCCGCGGATCTCAGCTCCGAATTCTATGCATCTGGGTTTAAAGCAGGGGGGAACGATGGCTCGCCGCCCCACCGAACAGGCACCACGAGCGGGGTGGGGGTGGGAAGAGGGGAAGAGAGGAGGGCTATGTTAAAAGGAAAGGGAGGAGCATTGAGGATGGAAAAACTTACACGCACATTGGTCAACTTCTAAACCCATCATAGCCCCCCAGCCAAAATGTCCCTCTTAAATAAGAGTCTTGAGATTCGGTGAGGCTTGCCTGGGTAAATAATGTGCATCATTGTTAAATGGCACTATCATATTTACTACGACTCATTTAATTTTTAATATATATTTAACGTACAGCGTCGTGGGATGCAATTAGCATGAATTCCACCGTATAAATACAATTATTTACATTGATTCTGCGGCTACTAATGGACGTGAGCACTGCTCCACTGCTGGACAGTTTAAGGGACACTTTGCCCTTTGTAGTCACAACTGCTTCAACTCAATGCCTGCCACGAAACACGTGGCCAAAATCCAGCAGCTAATAATGTCTCTTTGGATTGAATACCATGGGCTGTGGTCTCTCAATGGCGCAGAACATTTCCCAATTGTAATTTGGAGGAGGAGGAGGAGAAGACGTGTTTACACGGTGCTGCAATCGAAAGTGACGCACATCTGCATTTGCAATATCCATTAAAATGGCGATTGTCTTGTTTTGCGCATGACTTTAAAGCAGAGCACATGTGGGGCATAAAACTACTATGCACAAGCAGGTGAGAGTGGATTTTATTTTGCCCTAAGAGCAATCATGATGAACGCGGCTCATACGGTGAGGGTTGGAATATCAGGCGGACTAACTTTCTACTCAGAGATGGCAACTGAGCCTTATGGCGGGACCCCGGGGTCCCATAAGCCCCCGGCTCTCGCATAAACTGCGCTGCAACGTCATTTTATGTCTGTTGAAGGCGAACGACATGGCAATCTATTCCTCTCGACGAGCTCTACACGATGCGCTAATCAAAGTTTCAAAGTTGTGTTTATGACTACGGCATTCGTGCTCGCTGCACTTGGACGATACGACAACAGAATTATCCGCACCAGGTGGGTCGCGGCATTTATGTGCGCGGTTGGATGGAGTCGCCCAAATAAATTAATTAATTTATATTTTGACTTACGTTTATTCGGGACCCCGGAGTCCAGCCATAAGGTTCATTAGTAATGATTTAAGGACACTTTCGTGGTGCAGCGGTCAACGCACTGAACCTACAACCCAGAGGTTCACGGTTCGTTACGATCTCACGGCGCGACAATTGAAACAACGAACACGTTTCCTAAATCTCTGCCTCTGTCCAGCTCGCTGCAGTGTGATTTGGCTCACCATCGTGGGCGCCACGGTGCCGAGATGTTAACTACCTCACCCGATATACAGGAGATTGTGGATTCGGTCCCGACCCTGACGATGCTTGTTGTAAATTTAATGCTTGCACGTTCTCCCCGTGGTCGCGTGAATTTTTCTCCGGGTTCCCTGTGTTTCTCCCTCCACATTTAAAATCGACATGCGTTTAGAGCATTTGGCTGCTATACACTTCCACGTGATAAGCCAATTCGTTGAGCTATTACTTGTGGCCAGGTCGCTTCTGAAAAAAGGGATATATAGCTCAGTGGGCCTGACCTGGTAAAAATAGAATAATAATTGGCAGATGGTCGAACGCATTGGTGAGGTGCGGTGGCATCAGCGGCTTTGCCCACGATAACATCTTAATCTTCATCACGAACTGTTTATTACCAGTCCTTACTGCTAGACGGCAGTTCCCTCCACCACCTCATCCTCCTCCACCTCCTCACCCCTCTCCCGCCCGGCGCGTCTCTCACCTCCCGCGTGCGATTGTCGTGGAGGAGTTCGCAGACGGACGAGGTCCTCGCGGCCTCGAGGAGCACGGGCGTGGGGCCAGTGGCGTGCGGCTGGCCATGCTCGGCGCAGAGGCTACATGACGGCGGGCAGCCGCCCTTCTCCCAGCAGCTCATCTCCAGCCCCGGGATGCCCGCGCCATCCCCGGCACCACCGCCGCCGATGACGCCGCCGGCCAGCCCGGAGATGTACGCCGCGAAAGACGTATATTTGGGGTCGCGGCCCCGGTGCGTCTCGCCACCCGACTCGTGCATCACTTCCGGCCCCGGCAGGAGGGGTGGGGGGGACAAAAAACGGAGATTCAATCGACTTCTTTCCACAAATGGACCAAGAACCTTTGCTGATCTTGGCAAGGAGTGTAAAACGTCACACGGACTCTGGGCATCCTCGCAGCGGCGGTGGCTTTTTGGCTGGCCGTCAAACAAAGATGGTCACCGTGCCGCGCGCTTTCAGATGCGCTTCTGCGGCCGTCTGGAACGCTCTTCCTTCCCATATCAATGCAGTTATGCCCTTTTAAATCATCCGAGATTGAAAATGAATTTCTTTAGAACTGCTTTTGTGTTTTGTTTGTTGCCCTTCCGATTAGCACGAATTGCTACGTACGGCGCGAAAGAAGTTCAACACGCATGCATACAATGACGATAATGGCCTCAGCGGCATGGGGGGCGGTGGGGAGGGCGAAACGTCGGACGTCATTCGAAACAACACGTGCCGCATTCTGAAAAGACGGGCGTGGCGTTGCAGAAGGTGGCTCAAGTACACGCCACTTCGCCAGCCATTGCTCCTGCGGATGTGTGTGCGGGTTGTGCCTGTTACGGCTCTCTGGGCGTGTTTGGTTTTCGGGTTAGGACCGCGTGTTGTTCGTCACGGTGTCCCATCCAGCGCACGAAGCGGCACATCGGAATACCACGCAGTACAGTATGAAATCATACCAGAGAGCTATACAGCCACAACCGCAAAAAAACAACGTAGGACTATCACAAATGTGTGACAGAGTGCATACTTGTAGTGTAGTTTAACAACATCGAGTAAATCGCGTGCCAAACTTGGATCGCGGGGCCGGCACACGTGGCCAGACTCTTTTTTTGATCTTTAACGCTCACTGCGATGCAAACGGCGCGCACAAAATTTTTGGTTACCGCACCACGTGGCATTAACCAGGGCAGCAGGCCGCCACGGCTCGAACCAACGAAACGCCCGCAAAGAAGCCGTCACGAGCGGCACACACGCGCACGCCGCGGATACGATTCGTGGCGAAAATAAACGCAGTGTCATGAAAACGAGCGACCACATCGTGGATGGCACAGCGAACGGCACGGCGGGCCCGTCAACTGATGGATGGCTGCATCAGCTGATGGAGGGACAGGTGGTGGGGGCGAGCGGTAGTGGCGTACGTCACTTTATTTTTTAACGAAACAACAAGGTGGGCACGTAACAATGCTTTAGATGACAAACTCGGGGACTCGCGTACGTCGCTTTTCAAGGGAGACGGGACTCAACTCACGGACGCGTGCGGTGCTCGCAGCGACGGCCGCTCCTTTTGGCTATCCGCAGCTTGACGAATGAAAACGGTGTGGGAATCACACGTGAATTAAGCATGGCGTGCAGATAAAGGCCCCCTCTTTTGATGTTGTGTAAACATTTGCGAGCGAGCGGTACGTTGCACGCGGTCCCATTACAGTTCCATGCAGCTGTATTTATGCGACGAGCCAACTGGCAAGGGGAAAAGGCTGCAGTGGAAAAAAAAAAATTGTATGTGGAGAGAGGAAAAAAAAACTGGGCCGACGTCAAACTCAAAAAATCATGAAATTATTATAAAATATAATTATAATCTCACAGCCCCCCCCCAAGCCCATATAAAGACACGCCGCAATTATATATCGCAATAAATAATAATGCAGCGATGTCAAAGCTTCTCCCGCAAATATCATGCCCATAAAACAAATTGGCATATCAAACTTTTTAGGCAAAAGTTGGCGGCGAATATTTAGGAGACATTTATTGTGCGCGCACGTACAGACTTGTACACGCACACACACACATATATACAGATGAGCGTGTACACACATGCAGATACATTCATACACACACACACATATATACAAGCTAAAGAAAATAATCTGTCATATAGCCTGAATCGACTTTTGGGGCAGGTGCTGCTAGCAAGTAACTATGAAGGCTGGTATGGCACACGAGGTGGTGGGTGGCCAGCACCACGCCCGGCTGTCTTTGTCTCATGAGTGGCGATGTTTGCACATCGCACGAGATTCTCATTTAAGGCTGAGTCAAACTAGCGGAGGCCCAGGCCTGTTTCAGATCATCGTCACTGGTGTTGGCCATGAGCGGCAATTGAACTCAGGTCGCTGGGTTCGCAGCACAATTACATACAAACTCATGCACACACTTTTATGCAGACTCACACACGAAGAGACATCGACACACTCTCTCACACACCGCCTTGCACAAGTTGTGCGGTGGTGGGGGCCGTGAGAGGGAAAGTTACATTTCAGGGGCAAGAGATGATGGCATGTGCAATTAATCAGGATGGTGGAGCGCTCCCATCCATCGCGACTGTCCCGGGCAAAGACTGATGAACTAGGCACTTAATAAAACCAACGGCTCCTGCCGTTAAATGTGAGGCGCTTCGCTCATCCTGCCTCGGAGCAACACAAGGCAATACATAATACCTGGCCTGTCCTCGTGATGGGCGGTAATGTCATTAAAGGCTGGCACCCAGGAAAGGAATGTTATTACCTGGCAGTAAATGTTATTTACAAGGTGGCTTTGGTGTCGCTTGGCCAACCACCAGGGACTGCATTATTGCCGATGCGAGCTTCACTCAAGAGTCAAAGACGGAGAGAAAAGCTCGTGCCACACGTCGTTCTGATCGGTGATCAGTCACTGATATTATCAGTTGGTCGCTGACGTCACCGTATACTGGATGTAAAAGTGCATGAGGACTTACAATTGCTTGATCTTGCTGCTGCCTGCGGAAAGGGGGCCTCCGCTAAAGTGAACTCTAGTTGGGTATTTGGCCTACTCTTCTACATCGACCCAGACGCGTTGGAGGAGGCGGGCGTACCGACACTTTACCCCACCACATATGATCTGCCAATCGACTTACCCGCAGTGCGCCCATTGTGATCGTTGAGCTGCATTGGGTTCCGGTTGCCGAATTAATACATTATGAGGTCGCACTCATTGTACACAAAGTGTATGCCACGAATGAACTACGGTACCTTGCCGATTTCTTCACGGAGCATGAACCATCACGCAAACGCCGGTTGTCCTCGCAGCGGCTTTTGGCTGACCATCAAACAAAGACGGTCACCGCATCGCGACGCTTTCAGAGGCCGTCTGGAACGCTCTTCCTTCCGATATTGAGACGCCACTGGAACTTTGCACTTTTAAATAATCTCGGTTGAAAACGAATTTCTTTAGAACTGCTTTTTCGTGTTTCGTTTGCTGTCCCTCCGCCGCACCTCCGATGAGTACGGTAGGCTACTTGCAGTGCGAAAGAAGTTCAACGTACATACACACAACCATTGACTCCAAAGGGTGGGCAGAGGTGGTGGCGGCAGAGCGGAGAAGTTCGCGGTGGGGGGATTAAGAAACTTGCCCTGTTGTTTCGACTGCCGCACCAGCAGATGGAACTGAACCCGCGACCTCTGCACCCGCAAGAGCAGTGCACGGCTAAATATTGCGGCTCCTTGAATCAATGTAATAGCAATGACGTAACGCCAACAGGGGATTAAATATCAATGCGATGTTCTTATATTGTCTTTTGCTTTTAATATATTTTTCTCCCCCCCCCTATCCCCCTTCCCCCGGTGTTCCGACTAGTGTCGGTTACAGGACGTAGCTCCTTTGTAAAGGGCCCACCACTAGATAACAACATGGATTTCACATCCTGTTGGGAGCACAACAGATGTGAAACTTTACACCCGCATCACACTAAATGACACGGTTACATCACCCCGCGACGTGCAGGTGTGCCCCCCCCCCCCCCCCCCACTGAAACCAGGAACGCCGAAACGTCAATCCGGCCGTGTTATATTACAAGGGCAAATATACAAGCTCTGCACGAATGTTTTAATTCCGAAACGAGAAATTTGATTAACGGCTGGCGTTGGCCCGCTGGGAAACACTCATCTCAGTCATTCACACCGACCCAACGCATCTGCAGCCAAGACCAACATACAAGGCCCTTCCTTATTCGTTATCTCATCTCACTCTACTCCACTCTGCTCAATCTGCTACCTGTCCCGTCTCATGTCACTCCAATTCCCATCCTGCACTCTCCTACCTCTGCCCTCCACACACGTTCCTACCAATCTCCTCTCATCTCACTCTACTCTCTCTCTGCACACTCTCCATCCTACCTGTCCCCTCTTATCTCATCTCACTCTACTCCCCCTCCACACTCTCTCTGCTCTAGCAACCACAGCTTTGTATGGAATACCCCATTCAACCTCCACCGTGGAAGGTCGTTCATCTCTTCGACCGCCCCGATATTCTCGAACTCCCTTGCCTCCCAGACGTCCGTGTTGTCGACTCCGTGTCCCTCTCCAAGGCCGGGCTCAATCCCATCTCTTTGAAGAGCCCTCTGCTTATGTCTGATTGACGCCTTTCTATCAAATAAATACGTCCACTGTTTCTGTACGGTGGCTGCGAAGGATATACAGGAGGTCACAGGTTCGATTCCGAACCTGACGATGCCTGCTGTATATTTGGAGTTTGCATGTTGTCCCCGTGGTCGCGTGGATTTTTCTCCCGGATGAAAAACCATTTCGTTGAGCTATCACTTGTGGCCCAGTCTCTTCTGAGGAAAAAAAATTGATATATATCTCAGTGTTCCTTACCTGGTAAAATTACAAAAATAGTTTAGTTTAAATATTTTTAGTCCTGAGATGCATTTGCACTTCGACAGAATATAAATCCAAATTGTCACTGCATTGAATACAATTTTGCTTCCTAAAAAAATGGTACAGATGGAAGAGAGCTGTGAAGACACGCGGGGACATAAAGGGAGATTTCTACTACAGAGTGTCAAAAGCTACATGACTTCAGTTTAGACACGTGACAAAACATTTGGGATTGTAGACAAAGCAACACAACATCCCATTCTCCCTGACGTAATGGCCAGCCCACAGGCTTTGCAACCCAGAGATTCCCCAGTTCGATTCCATCTCCTGGCGTGGCAGTTGAAAGAATGGTGACAATTTTATTGCCTCTGTCCACCCGCCGTAATCGACT